AATTTTGAATCAATCCACAGAAACATAATCTTCTTATTTTCCTAAAGTCACTTCATGTTCCAGAGAAAAATAACACGTCCCCTTTTAGGTTTTTACTCTTTTGTTTTGATGAGTGACTTAGATTCCTCTTCTCTTCTCCCTAGATTTTTTTAGAAGATCTCATCCCCTCCTCTCTTTCTAGAGCCTCCCGGTTTTTATTTGTCCCTGCACACTTTTCTCTACATCCTCTAACTCTCTCTCTCTCTCTCTCTCTCCCAGTGTTCGACCAACTAGACCTGGTCACGTATGAAGAAGTAGTGAAACTTCCTGCCTTTAAGAGGAAAACACTCGTGTTGTTAGGTGAGTTCTGTCTGACAAAAACCATAAAATATCTGCATCTATAACAAACCTTACTGACCGACCATCGTGTGTGTGTTTATGTTTATGTGTGTGTCTATCAGGAGCTCATGGAGTGGGAAGACGACACATTAAGAACACACTCATCACCAAACACCCGGACAGATTCGCCTACCCAATCCCTCGTAAGACACACACTCCTCCTCAGCAGAAATACGTTAAACGACACGACACACGTCAGGAGACTTAGATCCTCTTTCTTCAACAGACACGACCAGACCTCCGAAGAAGGACGAGGAGAATGGGAAGAACTACTTCTTTGTGTCACATGACCAGATGATGCAGGACATCAGCAACAACGAGTACCTGGAGTACGGCAGCCACGAGGACGCCATGTACGGGACGCGGCTGGAGACCATCCGCAAGATCCACCAGCAGGGGCTCGTCGCCATACTGGATGTGGAGCCTCAGGTGTGTGTGTGAGAGAGCAGGTGTGTTTGTATCCTTGTGTTAGCATTAGGACATTCTGACCTTAAATACCTGTGCTCCATCAGGCCCTGAAGGTCCTGAGGACGGCTGAGTTTGCTCCCTATGTCGTCTTTATCGCCGCGCCAACCATCACGCCGGGCATCAATGAGGTAGGAAAACACAAAACTCAATCTACAGATCATATCTCTCTAATTCCTGACAAAAGCATCAGTTATTGATTTCATTCACACTTACCAGACCATTGATTATTTTGTGTCAGCGAGCTCTTTAAAGGGATATTCTGGCGTAAAATTAATTTAGGGTCAAACACACTGTAACACAGAGGTAGACACCCCCTTAAGAGATGAATGTTGCCGACCGCTTGCTTCTCTAGTTATACCAACTTTAGTAACCTCAACCAAAACGCCACTCTATAGCCACAAGTAATGCTCAGAACAGCACCTAACTTCATCAACAGTACATATAGGGTCCCAGCCATAGTACTAGACACCAAACATCTTTTTAACTTTGTCTAATTTCTTTAGCAAAGAGACTAAACACAACTCACCTACTCTCTTCCAGCAGCCTCTTGTTTGTAGCGAGACCTCAGGCCAGTCCTTCACGGACTGCTGCGGGGTGACGCAGCTCAAGGAAGAACATTTATGATAATTTCTTTATCATTTCCTTGAAGTAATAATCACCATATTTATCATTTTGCACTGCAGACACGGTAGTTCTTCTGCTTTAGTGTCTCGGTCTGATTGCATTTCCATGAAGAAATGATCATAAATGTTCTTCCTTGAGCTGCGTCACCCCGCAGCAGTCCGTAATGGACTGGCCCGAGTTCTCACTACAAACAAGCGGCTGCTGGAAGAGAGATGGTGAGTTGTTTTTAGTCTCTTTGCTAAAGAAATTGGGCGAAGTTAAAAAGATGTTTGGTTAAGGTTTGTTTATGGCTCCTCAGACCGCTGTGTATTTCTGTCCTGCGGTCGTTACTAAAGTTGGTATAACTAGAGAAGCAAACAGTCAGCATCATTCATCTCTCAAAAGGGTGTCTAACTCAGTGTTACGGTGTGTTCGACCCTAACTCAATTTTACGCCAGAATATCCCTTTAATTAAAAACTAAAACCAGAATCAGCAGAGTCAGTGTATGAACCCCTGCCATCACACAGCATGAGTCTGGACCTGCAGCCTCGCTTCCTGTCTGCCTCTCTCTCACTCCGTCTCATTCCTCTCTGTACTCGTTTATTTCTGCATGCTGCATGCGTTCGTTTCTTTGGCTCTTCCTTCAGATGCCCAGGTGGTGTCGAACGCTGCCAGTAAGTAAAATCTGACAGGATGGTGTCCATGACGTGTGATTCTTATTTACGTATGTGTGTGTATCCGTCACCATATGCTTGTCTGTGCTTCTGTGGTCAGTGCCTTTCCCTTTCATTTGATCCTCTGCTGAGCAAAAGCCTCTACATACTGTGCCAGGTCCTGCAGGTTAGCAACATGCTACACTTTAGATTTCTTTTGTCTACTAAAAAAAACATGCAACAAAAGAAACTACATGAATTTTCACTGTACAGCTCAGCAACAAAGCATGTCTCTAAAAGTGTTTTCAAAAGCAGTAAGCTGTCAGCTTGTATCTATTGCATCATAAGCTGTTTTTTTCTGTTATTTTGCAGAATTGGGTCAAAGTTGTCTATTACATCAGGATAAGCTGGATTGTTTATTTGTTGTATTGTTGCACAATCTTTTATAAAAATTAAAATTGCATTCAATGCCTTAAATTCCTCTTATGCAGCACAGAGATACCTCAGACATCCTGCTATGTTCGATCTGCAGTGGGATGGTTCATTTGGACCAAAAGCAAGGCCATTCTTTTGCACTGCGCTCACACATACAGAGTTAATGCAAAGATATGAAGTCAGACAGGATGGTACAACAGGAAAGTAAAGACACAAATCTGCAAAAATGGTGCCATTTGAATCAGAGATCGGTGCAACACTGTGTTGAATGGCCGTCATCAGCCATATCAGGTTATCAAAGTATTGTACAGAAGCGTATTGCATTCATCGGTAAAAAAAAAAACAACTGTTTTTCAGAGTAATTTTTTTCTGTTCAGTTCTTCTGACTATTTTGTGTTTGTTTTGTTTTTCGGACTAATTGTTTTTCTGTTCTCTGGGATCATGATCATTTAAAAACAGACGCTTTAACCCCCCCTCTACTTGATTTATTGGAAGCAAACATGGCCCACTTGTTTAGTTTATTAAGTTTTACTTTCTTTTGGATTTGAGACACTATGAGATTCTCCTTTCTTTAAGTCAGCTAGATGGAATTGTCATAAGTTTGTCTCCTTTGCACAGGCACCTCAGGATTTAATAACGTGCTTTACTCTCATTGACCCCGTAGTTAAAGTTATCTAGGAGCTGGAAAATCTGCTAATTTGGAGCAGCCACAGTCATTAACATTATCTGATTGTATGAGATTCTCGCAGGATTTTGAAGTATCTCACGTTGTAAGGAAAAAAAATAGTCAGAAAAACAGAAAGACGAAAAAAATAGTACAAAAAAAACAGAAGAAAACAAAAGGCAGAAAAACAGAAAGAAGAAAAAAATTAGTCCAAAAAAAAAAAAAAGAAAATAAAAAAAGCTTTTTTTTTTTTTTGTAAGTGAATGCAGTACACTTCTGTAGTTTTGTATCAGACAACTACATCAAAAAAAGCTGTTTTTTGTTGAAGCTGTCCTGACATCTGAGACAAACCTAGAATATCCTGAATTCATACTTTTAGCAAATTAGCATCATGATGTAGTTGTTTCATCATCAGAGTTTACGGCAGATTTTATTTCTGGTCCAAAATTCATTCCAAATCTGTCAAACAAACGTTCCAAATATCTATACACATACCTAAAACCTCCTGCAGTACAGCACAAAAACACTGAGGCTACAGTCCAACAAATTCAAATGTATCCTGTGAGTGTGGATGTCACACAGTTTGTAGAGGCTTTTGTAGTTCTTCTATCACTCCTGCACAGTGTAAGCTCTCATGTGTCCCTCACTCTCACAGCCCTCATCAATATCTGACACCTTCCTCTTCTCCCTCCTGCAGGATGAGTCTCTCCAGCGGCTGCAGAAGGAGTCGGAAATCCTACAAAAGACCTACGCCCATTACTTCGACCAGACCATTATCAACAACGAGATCGATGAGACCATCAGGCACCTGGAGGAGGCCATCGACCTGGTCTGCACCACCTCCCAGTGGGTCCCTGTGTCCTGGGTCTACTGAGCTCTTATCCACACCTCCACCTGCTCCTCCCTTCTCAGCATCAACACCTCAGACATCTTTTCCTCTTCAGAAAACAAAAGAAATTCAAAACTCTCTCGATCAACTCCCCCCTCAGCGTACACAGAAAATCTTCCCGACGCAGCACTGACATCCTGCAGCAGAGAAAAAAACGGACTCGACAGACGACCTCGTCCTAGTGTTGTACAAAATCAGAGTAAACAAACGTGAATATTGTCATGTCTGTTCTAGCTAGGAGGAGACATTTTTCTAGATGTTTGTTTTAAAGAGACAGTACCACGTCCCGTCCTCCCACAATCCTCAGTTTCAACATTGTAGTCCTGTTGGGTGTTGTAGTTCTTAAAGACACCAGCGGTGTGTATTCTGAATTAAAAGCACACAAACACACTGCGATGTCTTCTCATCTGTAGGTCATAATTTATTCACCCCTGTTCTTTTCTAACTCTGGGTAACATCCTCACCTGTCTGCCCGCCCTCCAGGTACTGTCTCTTCTAAATAAATCCATTAATGTTTTAGAGATTTGAATGAGGTTTTCATGCATGTGGACATTTGCAAGCAACCATGCTGTCAGTCAGTGTTCCCCGTGTCCCTCTGTGAACCTCCAACAAAGAAAAGAAGACGAAAATATATCAAAATATGAAAAAACATTCCAGCTGTTTGGAAAATGATGGACTCAGCCAGGGGAAGCACGAGAGGGCAGCAATGGAGCCGGACTTTGACGTGACGCCTATGCACATCCTTTGCATTTGGGTGACATTTCTAAACCACAGGTTTACTAAAAAAAATAAATAAATAAAACTGATCATGTAGTGAAATGTGTTTGTAAAAGATGAAATCCAATAAAAGTCTTGATTTTTCTCTTTTTGATTTGTCATACACTCCAAAAAAAAGAAAAGAAGAAAGGAAGAATTTCACCTTATTCTTCACATGAGAATGTGATGTTGATGAGTTTAGTGTTAAAAATGGAGTTGAAACAGGAGATAAAATGCTGATTTTTATTCTGTAACCGAAGTGTAAACTATTCTACATTCTGCAAAGGTGATCACTTTGCAAGGGAGAGGAGGCAGTATGTGTGCGTGTGTCTGTGTGTCTGAAAACTGTGTATAAAAATGACAGACTGACATACAGCTGCCCCTTGTGAAAATGACTCTGCCATGATAAAAGTTCTTCAGTATGAACAGTTTTTTAAATATATTTCCTTTTATGTGTTGGAAAAGTGAACATGGAGTGGCTCTTCTTTTTGTCTGGAACACTGCAGAAAAACCATGAAAAAAAAACACATGAACACAGAACAGTTCATAAACTGTTACTGCTGAGTTTTGATATCCTGTCCTATCACACCATGAGAAATGACTCCATTATTGCCCAAAATGCATTTGCACATGCACCAGACTGCGCCAACCACGTATCAATCAAAAAATCTACTTCAATTTCTGAGCCAAACAGCAGGTGTCTCTTTTATGCAACTGTAGATTAATGACGACTACTAATAACTGAGACTATTCTTCCTCATCATATTATACTATGAAATTTTTATCATACTATACTATGACATTTTTTAACAAACTGTAATATGACATTTTCTCATTCTTTACTATAACTTTTTTTTAACATACTATACTGTGACTTTTTTATCATACTATATTATGACCTTTTTTATTAAACTTTACTATGATTTTTTTATCATACTATACTTTTAATTTTTTTTTATCATATTATCGATGACAATTTTTTATTAAAATTATAATTTATTATCATTTATTTTTTAATCATACTGTCCATGAATCTCTTTTTAACGTACTATCCTATAACTGTTTTAAGCATATGATACTATAAATTTTTATCATACTATACTATGACATTTTTTAATCATTCTATACAATAAATTTTATTTATTATACAATACTATGAAATTTTTTATCATACTATACTATGACAATTTTATCATACTATACTTTGACATTTTTTATCATACCATACTGTAATTTTTTTGTCATACTATACCATGGCATTTTTTAACATACTATACTATGACTTTATTATCATACTACACTATGACATTTTTTTATAATACTGACCTATGACAGTTTTAACATACAAAACTATTACTTTTTTATCATACTATACTATGATACTTTTTTCATTCTATACTATAATCATATAATTAATTAATTATAATTCTATACTATTTATCATATAATACTATGACAATTTTGTCATACCATACTGTGACTTTATCATACTATACTATGACATTTTCCGTCATACTTAACTATGAGATTTTTTTTATCATACTATGCTATGACTTTTTAATCATACTATACTAAGACATTTATATCATACTATACTATGACATTTTTTTATTGTACTTTCTGTGATTTTTTTTTTTTTATCAAACCAAACTATTTTTTTTTAGCATTTTATACCATGGCTTTTTAATCATATTATACAATGTCTTTTTTATCATACTATATTTTGTCATACTATACTATGACATTATTGTATCATACTATACTATGCCTCCTTCAGGGCGTTCTCCAGAGCTTTCACAACAAAAGAGTCAGATAGTTATGGACACCTACACTTGTCTTTGTGGCTCACAGGGGAAAAGACTGATTTAGACTCTTGACGTTGAAGGTTGGAACCCTTATCCAGGTCCTGGTGAATTTTTAAGTCCAGTATCTAGAGAGGAGAGGATAGTAAAAAACCTTTCACGAACTGGATCCTCCTGTGTGTCCACATGGTTCAGAGGATAAGACAATTGACTGGGACTCTTGTGGTCGTGGGTTCGATCCTTACCTTATTCAGGTCTAAATGAAATTTAAAGTCAAGTGTCTAAAAAGGAGAGTGAAATATAAGGAAACCTGAATTCTCCTGTGTGTCCACATAGCTCAGAGGATAAGAAGCCTGACTGGGACTCATGAGGTTGTGGGTACAAGCCTTATCTTATCCAGGTCTAGGTTGAATTTAAAGTCCAGTGTCGAGAAAGGAGAGAGAAATATAAAGAAACCGTATGTCCCCTGTATGCTCACATAGCTCAGAGGATAAGAAGACCGACGGGGACTCTTGAGGTTGTGGGTACGATCCTCACCTTATCCAGGTCTAGATTAAATTTAAAGTCTGGTGTCTAGAAAGGAGAGTTAAAGGGGAAAAAACCAAAACACTCCTGTGTGTCCACATAGCTCAGTGCATAAGAAGACTGACTGGGACTACTGAGGTTGTGGGTTCGATCCTTGCCTTATCCAGGTCTAGTTTAACTTTAAAGTCCTTTAGCCAAAGTAATAAGATAAAAGTGGGTAGACGTCATGCCCTAGTGTGGATCCTATCTAGTGGCCCTGCATGGAAGTCTATTGGCACCCAATGGGGCCTGGTTTGATACCAGCTCGTGGCTGTAGAGTATTAGTAATGATCAGATTGTTTTATCATCAGAAGTGATGTTGAAAAGTCATCACTTCTGGAAGTATTCTATACCAATTATTCGATAGAATATGTATTTTCATCATTTCATTACTTTGAACTTCCCCGTCACTCACTGGATTTGAACCGGGGTACCAACATTGGGAGCCAATTGACTACCGCACTGCGCTACAAGATACGATCCACACTTTGGTATGAGCTTCACACGCTTTTATTTTCATCTTTTGGCTCCTGGACTTTAAAATTCACATAGACCTGAATAAAGTTAGGATCGAACCCATGACCTCAAGAGTCCCAGTCAGTTTTCTTATCATCTGAGCTATGAGGATACGTAGGAGAATTTTGTTTTTTCCTATTTCACTCTCCTTTCTAGACACTGGACACTTTGACCTTGACCTGGATAAGGTAAGGATTGAACCCACAACCTCAGGAGTAGCATTCAGTCTTCTTATCCTCTGAGCTATGTGGACACACAGGAGAATGAATTTTTTATCCTATTTCATTCTCCTTTCTAGAAACTAGACTTTAAATTTCACCATGACCTGGATAAGGTAAGGTTCATACCCACAACCTCAGGGCTCCCAGGCAGATGAAAAGTTTTCTCTCTTTCCTCTCTCTAGAGTATGTTACAAATGTCATAGTATAGTATGGGTTGGGGAAAGGATTTTTACCAGACTATACTATGACATTTTTATCATACTATACTAAGATGTTTTTATATCATACTATACTATGACATTTTTGTGTCAAACATTTTTGTATCAAACTTACTAGGACATTTTTAGGTGTTTTTATCCAAATTATACTGTGATATTTTATCATACTCTATATTTTTATCATACTTAATTGTCATTTTAACATGCTATACTCTGACATTTTTGCCATACTATACTATGCCATCCTATACTATATTGTACTGTGATATTTTTTGTCACACTATACTATGATATTCTTATTAAACTTTACTGTGACATTTTTTTTTCATATTGTGATATGAAATTTTCATCATCCTATAATATTAAATTTTTCATGTACTATACAATTACATTTTTATGATATTATACTGTTCCCCATATTTTAACATAAACTATGTTGTTTTAACATTCTATACCATGGGTATAGTTTAAAAAAGATTAAACTAATGGTGGTTAAAAAAACAACAAGAGCTTCTGTTTGAGGAAAAATGGGCTTCAAGTCACATATTGCAACAGGGAGACTTTTATTATTATTATTATTTATATGGATAAAAATACTACATTCATATGTTTTTCTTGTATCTTTATATTAACAGAAAAGAAAACATAACCCCATGTTGTTGCTTTATTTTAAATCCTGCTAAGGCCACATTAGGGTGAGCAGCATTGTACACAAACTCTCGTATTATGTGATACAGTTGTAACGTTACAGGTAAACAAGCGCTCAGATGCTGCATTTTGTGATTTCAATCAATGAGAGTGAGAGATCAGATCAAACTGTAGTCTGAATAATGTTCTTCTGTTACATAATCCAACATCAGCATTAACATCTAAAAGAGAAACTGATCACGGCTTTGATTTTAAACAACCTTTTAACCAAAATGGTTATTAAATCTCAGAACTCGCTGTTTTATTGATAAATCATTTTAAGCCATATCAGCATACACCTGTTACAACACACTGTGAGTGGTGTCAGCATAAATTTAAGGTGAGTTTCTCCTGGAAACCTTTTTTTTAACCTTTGTTACATAACATGCTTAAATTTGATAATTTTACCAAAGACAGCAAACCATTGCTTTAAAATAGAGTGACAAATCTGGATAGCGGTTGAGAATATTAAGTAAAGTATAATGTATAGTTAGTGCATGTTTTTTTTGTTTTTTTGAGAGAACAGTAATTTTGAACCCAAAAAGTGATTGCCACAGATTTATGTATTCATTCATTCAGTGCAGCTTGAAGGCCTAAAGATGAGGCCCATAATTGTTAAATACAGTATATACTCGTGGATATCTGAGTGACACCTCTGACACTTTACCTTTAGCCTTGATAAATTAAATGCACTCTGAACAGGTTTATCCTGTGGATATAAACAGCTGAGATGAAGATTGGGAGTAAGTGAGAGGGGGGATGAGATGTCTTAGTCCCGGTGTAATCCCACGTTAAAGGGCCATCAGGAGGACAGCGTGCAGATTAACTGGTGCTGAAACTGGTTGAGTCTTTGGCTGCAGGCTGGAACGAGTCACTCAGACTGGTCATGAAAAGTTTAGCAGGAGAATTTTTTATTATTGTGTAAAAAAATATATAATGTAACAGAGCATTTTGTTGTATGTCACCACTGAATCTGTCAGATAAAACACAGTAGCATGTGAATGAGGTCTATCTGTAACTTTTCATCTTTGAAATATTCATATAAACTTTGTAGAATAACTTAAATACTAAGAACATCAAGAAGCTCATTTATATGCAATAATACTCACCTGAAAGCATTTATCGTCCCAAAGAGAAAAACTTTAACACTTCCCCTCCCCCATCTTCAACCTGACATATGGTAATCACACCCACCACCACACCCCCGTATGCACAGAGGTCGTGTCCATAAGAGGGCAAACATACATGCATATATGAGGCAAAGCGATGTGAAAGTCCCTCCATTACGCTGCAGCGCACACAGGCTGCATGCAATAAGAAGATTAATGAATGCATTTATGGAAAAGCTGCAGAACGTACATTTAGAGCTGAATGAAGAGCAGAGAGGACATCTGTTAAAGAGACAACCGCAGGAGCTCTCATCCTTATACAGCTCATACATCAATGTGAATGACAATACAAAAAAAAAAAAAACATTAGACGTAATGCTATGAATATTACGTAATATTAATTAAAATTGAGTGTTACACAACAAAAGGTAGAGGTTCACATAAACACTTTTTTCACAGTAATCCACAGTTTGAATCAACGCCTGTGCAATGAATCCTGCAGCAAACAGCGTCGATGTCGTCGTCTCTGCGTCAGGACAGCAGACATGTTGCTGCGGTTTCTCTTATGCAAGAAGTTCACCTATAAATAACAAGAGATTATTTTTCATAAGCAGCCATGTCACGTCAGTCCTACTTGTAAGAGGAGCCAAAAATACTGAGTTTGAACGTCACAAAAAACATTCTGAAAATCCTACATTTGGCAGTGACCACACTCACAAGGACGAGCATCCTCTGATATCATCTCAATGGCAATTTGAAAAGCTAATCCGTGGCGTTCTCTCGGTCGAGGAAACAAACTCCTCCCACATTTCTCATGTCCAAAAATAACAGAAATCAACATCCTCTTGGTCTATCAAACCAAAGATCAGCCACACCACAAGGATGCAGAGAAAGGGTTGGCTCCTGTGGTCTTGTTGGCCTCTGACCCCTGCAGAGAGCTGCCCATCCTCAGGTTCCAGCAGAGTCCCGTTGCGGACGCTCTCTGTGCTGTTCCCCATCTCCTCTTTGAGCTCCTGCTGCAGGAGTTTGGAAATGAGGCTGTTGAAGCGGTTCTCCGTGGTGGAGATGATCGCCGAAGACACCGTGGTCAGGTTCAGCTCTGCGGGGTCCACACAGGTGCCGTTAATTTTGGCAAAGACTACCTCACTGAGATCCAGCCCCGCCACGGAGGATGGCGAGGCACAGGGTATGTCCCGCACCAGCTTGTAGCTCTCCATCCACTCCTTCAGCCACTCCAGGGAGCAGTCGCACTCCCAGGGGTTCCTGAACAGGTAGAGACGACCCAGGAAGTAGATAGGCTGGAAAACTGGGAACGGGAGTGTGGTGAGGTTGTTGCTGTTCAGGTGCAATGTGATCAGGCTCGTCAGGTTCTCAAAGGTGCCCTCCTCAATGTAGAGCACCTGGTTCCTGTCCAGGTACAGGACCTCTAGCTCCACCAGGTCACTGAACCAGGTCTTGGACACATTGGTTAACTGGTTCCCCCCGAGGTTGAGCATCTTGAGGCGGCTGAGACCCTTAAAGGCCAGCCGGGGCAGATCAGAGAGCAGGTTGTCATTGAGGTAGAAGTTCTCCAGCCTCACCAGGTCCTGGAAGGCCTGATCGTGGATCACGTTGATGCGGTTCTCCTGGAGGTTCAGATACCTAGGACAAAAAGAGGGTGATGAGATTTACAGACTGAACTATGGACTTCATTGACAGATCGTCCTCGGTGATGGCAGCTAATCCACAGAGATGAGCTACAAAGACACTCCTACCACCATACCATGACCAAAAAAGTATGACACATCAATATTAGTTTCGTATAAATTTTTCCCCCTCTGGTTGCGATGTTGACATGTAGTTACAGTAAGACTGGTTTGTGCGCAAGTCCTCTTTCTTTCTGTGCAGCTCCATTTTTAAAAGTTATTAGGGGGTTCATGTTTCCTACGATTGACACTTGATACAGCCTATGGGCGTACAAGAATTGAGTAGCTCACCTAGGGGATTCACTGTTTGGGCTGAGTGTCATCACAGCGCCCCTTGGCGACTCTCCCGCCGAATGCGCACAATGCTACTGCGCAAGTGGTGGAGTGCATACAAGGCTACTGCGCAATGTTGGTCTCAGGAAATGGAGAGAAAACGCGGAAATACAGAGAGCTTTTCGGCTTCAAATCTGTACACTGGCAGAAGGCGGAACCAAGTTGTCCATAGTATATACAGTCTATGATTCAGGTAGATGACAACAACAAAAGTTTTGGAAGAAGCTGCCATCATAACAGCGTCTGGTAACAATGAATGCGCCCTGTACTCTGTCAGACATAAGCCTTCTTCAAATGGCCTGATGCACTAATAAACTGTGACACCACTACTAGGTGATATCATAAGAAATGCTCCATCATGTTTCACTGTTATGCAGATGACACCCAGTTATACCCAAAAGAAATCAATCAGCAAGCTAAACTAGAAGCCCACCTTAAAGATAAACAGACCTGTATTACCAGAATATTTGGTGCTCAGTTCTTACAAAACTGAAGTTATCATTCAAGCGACTGACATTCAGCTATTTTTGACGGATCCCGAGGCCTTCCAAGTCTACAAGTCTTACTTTTAGGTCTACAGGGAGGACGCTGAAGGTGCTAACCCACCTCAACTCTTTTCTTGCTCTGTGAAGAAGAACCAGCTCTAGACAGATCTCTGAGCTTCTGATACTAACCTCAGCCATCATCGGCAGAAATATTTTACTCTTTCAGTCACTACCTAAAGCTGATGACCATATGTAGATTGAAATGTTTGCTCTCTGCCTGATCTGAACTCGTGTTGATGCATTGCCAATCTGTTTCTCTAGGCTTGTTCCTGCTAATCTTCCTTGAATAATCTAAAGTGGGAGCATTGTGTAATGTCCACCCTGAACTTTGAATACAGCATGAGTACCTTACAAATTATTCCTAGAAGTATCAACGGTTAATAAATCATAATTTCATTTCACTCACTTGAGACTCCCCAAGCCCAGCAGGGAGTTGTAGGCCACTGCTTCAATCTTGTTTCTCTCCAGGTAGATGTGGGTCAGGTTCTCCATGCCCCTGATGGCTCCGGGGATCCTCCTGAAGTTGTTCTGGAAGCAGAGCAGCTCCTTCAGCGCCGTCTGCTCGATGAAGATCCGATCTGGGATGTTGAAGAGGTTACAGTCCGATAGATCCAGACGCACCAGCTTCTTTAGTCCCGTGAACGTCCGTGTGTGAAGGTAGCTGATGTACTCGTTGTGAGCCATTTTAAGGTCCAGTAGGTTCGAGAGCCCCTGCAGGAGAGAGGTTTAGGTGTTAGTTAGACAACCTATAACTAGACTACCTAGACCACAGCAGCCCCAACTATTAAAAACTCTGCAGTAAATTTGCTATTTCGCTTTTTTTCTTCTACCAATAACTCAACAAAGCCTGTACTTCTTTTTGTTTATCCTGGTCCAGTGTCAGCCACGATGATGAAACATTATTTCAACAGGAAATTTCCTTTTCGAGCAGGAGTCAGGACCTGCCCACAGCGCCAGAACTACTCCAGAATTTTCGGTGACCACGATAAACTTTACAAACAGAGCTTTTATCAGAGACACTGGGGTTACTATGGCCTCATGGGTAATCTGACCTTAATACTGACACTAAAATTTAGTCCTAAGAAATAAATAATCTGATCAGTTAATATTTAATTTAATCCCGTAGGTCTCAAACACTTAAACATGAGTTTGCCTCTCCATGAAAACAGTTATATCTGCTCAGGTTTGGAGGTGGATGATGGTTTTTCTAACAGCGCTGAACAAATATCATTTTCTCGGTCCACTGTTTTAAAAAAATCACTTTCCGTGACAATGGTTACAGTTATGTGTGTGTGTTTTATCTGGATTACCTGAACTCTGATTCTGCTTTAAGCTGTTTTGTTGTTTTTTTCTCAAATGTTATTATCTGAGTGTTTGATCAGGAACATTTACAATCCATTCAGTGATTTTGAAATGAATGTGGACGTCTCAGCAACAGATATTTTAAAACCCAGGCAAATACCACCGAAACCATCTGCATCACTGGACATCAGAGGTCAGTGGGAAAGACAGAGGGACATTTTAAATACATCTGATTTAAATCATTAAAATTTTCTTGAATTACACGCAAATTTTGATGCTTTTTATTTACAGACCAGACAATAATAGTTAGATTTTTACTGTACTACTCAAAGCAGAATGGAGATATAAGATAATTATGTCTATAGAGAGTCTTTAACGTGATTGATCATGACACATTATTGAATAAGATAATTAACTGCCAGTTACAGCGCCTTTGAATGGCTAAAAATCTACAGAAGTAACGAGAAACAGTTTGTTCAATTGGGACAACGCAGGTCTAAGCGCTTCAACAGTACCTATGGCATCCCACAGGGGTCAGACTCGAGACCCAAAATGTTTATTCTTATATAATGATATGTCAATGTGTGAGATTCAGTGGTCAACTCTTAATGTTTGGAAACAGAATTAATGTTCAGATATAAATGAAGGAGCTTATTTGTATTAATTTGTTGATGATCTTGTATGTTATTTTTGTTGTTTGAGATGTTTATATCATAATTAGGCATTAAGAAAAAAATTTTACAAAATTTTCCATTTTTTAAATCTTTTGGATTTTTTTTTAGACAAATAAAGATAAAAATTAATCAAAAGGATGACCTCTGTATTCATAAAACCATCCTTCATTTTGTTGGAGGTAAATGGAAAAAATCCATTCATGAAAGAGTAAGAAATGTTAACTTTCTTTTCATGTGATAGAAACCAGATCACAGCCTTTAACAGAGAAACATTTCTCAGGTATTTACATCTGAGTGGGTCCAGGTGTAATCCATCTCTTATATATCCCAGATTAAGTTAAATTTTTTCTACTGTCTCTAAAAGATCAAATCAAAACAAACAGCAGAAGAACTTCCTCACAGACCTTGAATGCTCCAGGTGTGATGAAGGAGATGTTGTTGTGGTCCAGAGACAGAGACTTGAGGGATGGCAGGGTACCAAACGCCCGCTCGGACAGGAACTTCAGTCGGTTCTTGTCCAGGTTGATGGCGGAGGCCTCGCAGGGGAACTCTTTAGGAAGCTCAGCCAGGCCGGAGCGGTCGCACAGCACGCTGCAGCTCTTCTCCTGTGTGCAGGAACAGGACGCCGGGCACGCCCGAACACATGCCCACCGTGCCAGCACCGCCTGAGGCAGCAGGCACAGCACAGAGACTGGAAGGAGAACAAATAGTTTGAGTGAATCATAATGAAAACAGCTCCACAGTCAGTCTAAGAGCTTAAATGTGAAAGGAAGGTTAAAAGTCTTCCTCCACCTCCTCTCTCCTCTCTGTTGATTCACTCTGTCTCTAAAGTTCCCTTAAGTCCTCTTTTGGTTGTAAAGTCTCAGCTACTTTCTGTTCCCTAAAAACGAAGCCTCTAGAAAACAGAAGGAAGTTTGGATGTTTTCAGGACATTAACAACCACAACATAACTGTATGTGCTCGAGAATTCTCTGATGACACTTTTGTAAACAAAGGCCAGTATGAGCCTCAGCAGTCACTGAAACCTGGAGCTATTCATTGATAAATGTCTTTATGAAGCTCAAGCAGGAAACATTATCATTTTCTGATTATATTTCATAAAATGTCATAAGAATAGTGTCAAATATCTCCCGCTTATAGTATCACAATGTATTGTACTACTACCACTGTGTCAGGATACGTGTCATTTTGTTGCCCTGACAGGTACACAGGTGGAGAACTGATTTGATGTTTGAGTCACGTTGATCTGCAGGTTTCGTGGCTGAACGTTTCTCCACCAGCTGCTGCTGAAATGATGTGATTAAGAAAGAGCAGCTTATACCAGAGATTAGCTCACAACAATAGAGACTGTCTGTGCGCGGGATTTCACCCTCCATCCAGCCCAACATGGGTCCACATTGGCCTTTTAGTCTGATCGATGAAGGACATTTATGGAAAAAAAAAAAACATTCATACTCCAATTTCTTCTATGTTTCCATGAAAGAAAACCTGAAAGCTACAAACCGACCTGAGCAGAGACGTGTTCACTGATTGTTTACAGCTTCATTTTTAGGATGTGAGAAATTTTAACAGCTGATGTAGTGGGAGAATAAATAAAAAAGGGTGAGGGAACAGAAACTGACCAGTGAAAGTGATGACAGTCATTACTGAAGTCTCTCATCTGGGACATGCCAGGATTAACGGAGGTCTGAAACAGCACAAAAGAGCACAGCGGCACTCAGTAATGAAGCACAGACAGATACAAAAGAGTGTGACAAAGCCTGAAATCTGAATATGATCCAGTTGAGAAAGTTTTAGCTCACAGTTTGACTTTGACTAGAAGCTCTGAGAGTTCGGGATCATCGTTGCAGAAGATGATTTAGAGGACCAAGAGAAAAACGAAACTATGGAAGAAACACAGGAATAAACTGCACATACCTGTACAAGTTTGTGGACAGGTGCATCCATGTGTGCCTACAGCCACTGTCCAAACATGTGAGTCCATGCTCTCCATCCGTCAGCACCCCCAGCTGCTCAGCCCTGACACACACTGCTGCTGCTGAAGTGATGTGTTTTCACTCCTCATCCTCCCCCTCTTCACTGTGTGTGTGTGTATGTGTGTGTATGTGTGCTCCATAACACACACAAACAGCAAAAAGCCATCTCTTAATGGCACTCAAATCCGCCTGAATGGAGAGAGTGATGCAGGGATGGAGATGGAGATGTAGGATTACAGCAGCAAAGCGAAGCGAAGCTCTCAGAACGGACCGAGGCCGAGCGGAGAAACACACACACACACGATGAAGACGACATGAAACTTCACAGAAATGCAGATGTTGAAATGGATTATGGGATCAGCCTCCATCAGCGGCATGATCTGATACGAGGCGATCGATACGTTAAATAAGACTCTGGAGCAGAAACTGTGTGAAGGGACAGGATGTTTTCACAATTAATGTCCCCACGTGTCCCTCAGTCCAGCTTTTAGTTTAGCCTTACATGAGTGGATTTTATCATCTACGGTACATCATATCATAAAAGAGTGAGAGAGTCTGGAGAAATCTCTGTGCAAAAGGAACAAGAACCAAAACAAGTACTGGATGGTCATGATCTTCAGGCCCTTAGGCAGCACTGCATTAAAACAGACAGGACTCTGTAGTGGAAATCACTGTCTGTGAACACAGTTTATCACTGAATCCACAAATGCAGGTCCAAACTGAACCATGCAAGGAGGAGACCAGATAAAAACAAGATCCAGAAACACCAGAGACTTCTCAGGACCTGAGCCCTTTTAAAGGTGGACTCAGGAGAAGTGGAAAACTGCCTTCTGGTCTGATGGATCCAGTTTGATGTTCTTTTTAGAAATCATGGACACCCCATCCATCCAAGAATGAGATAATTAAGTAAAGTTTATTTAATATAGCACCTTTCATAGAGAAGATTCACAAAGTGCTTCACCATAAAAAATTCAAACTACAATCATAAACATCAAGTAATAACAATAAACAATAGCATAAATAGAGCATTAGTTGAAACGGGGGGAGGTAAAGGCCTGTTTAGATAAGTGAGTCTTTAAAAGCTTTTAAAAGTGACGATGGAAACAGCTGAATGAATATCAGCAGGTAAATTGTTCCACAGTGTTGGAGACACCACTTCAAATGCGTGGTCACCTCTTGTTTTTCGAGTGATTGAAAGGAAAATGACCTTTTTTGGAAGTTGTGGACGCTGTTCTACTTTCTTTTTAAATCATGTTGCAGGTACCAAACTAAAACCGAGGATAATTTTTACATAATACAACAAAGTATTTCCATTTGTACAATTTACAGGCTCACTTTGCCCTACTTTTAAATAAATATAGACTTTAAATAATTCTTTCATTCGTCCTGTTTCCTCTCTCAAAAATGATAAGATTTATTTGTCCTTGAATGTAGTTCAGGTCTTTTCTGTAAAATTGACAGAGATTATAAAAGCAGGTTTTTTAGAGTGTCACTGCCTTCAGCTGTTATGAAACTACTCAGCATATTAGAGACCATGTGACCCTTAAGAGTAACCTAAAAAGGCTTAACATGCATTTTATCCAGAGTGTGACGACACATTTCTGTCAAAGCAGAGGGACAGAGGGTGGCATAAAATCCAGGTCAGCTGTTCTCTTTTTCTAGTTCATCATTTTAACCTGATTTTAACCAAATGAGTTACTACAAACATCAGCTTTCAGCGCTGATGGTGGAGTCTGCACGTCTGGTTACCATGGCGAGAGACGATGTAACATGTTGACTGACAGTTTGACAGGATTTGGGTCATCAGAGATTCAGCGGAGAGACTTTGACACCTCTGAAACCCAAAACACACAAACACAAACACCCAGACACGAGGCCTGGAGAGCTGTCAGACATGATATGATGACAGCAGTGTCGCATAAATCAGCCCTGCACTGATTTACAAATTCATGATTCAAATCGAATTATAAAGTTGTCATAAATCCAGAAATGAGTCACAAAGACCCAAACTGTTTTTGTTCCAGGCTGTAAAGATCTTTATCTCTGCTGTTATGTTTTAACATGGGACTCTATGGGAACTGACTCACTGTAAGAGACAGCCTCTAGTGGACACTGAAGGAACTGCAGATATGTTTGCTTTACATTGCCTTCATTTGCATGCACTGGTTGTTGCCTCTTAGTTAAATGAGTTGTGAGACTAGAATGAAACATGGTGACAGTAACTCGGTTTGAAATCTGCATTCTTCCTGACAGCCAGTAGGGGGAGATTCCTCTACAGTCTTACAGTACTTAAGTCTATGAGATCAAAATAACTAATTTAAAAGGTTAACTCAAAATAATTTTTACAATTAACATTTAGTTTCTGTCTGATTAAAACTGAACCATGCAATGAGGAAACCTGATATAAATATGAGACCTCACTAGACCTGAGCCCACTTAGACTGAGGGGAAGTGGAACACTGCCCTGTGGGCTGATCACTCGAAGTTCAACTTTTGGGGAAATCATGGATATGACAGCCTCCATTTTCAAGATGAGAGGGACTGTGAAATTTTATCCAAATTTCTGTCTGCCAGCTTACTCGTAAAATGCCAAAAAATGGTTTGTCTAATTAGAATTTGACAAACCACTTTTTGGAAATCCTTCGACACCACACTGCAAGAGCAGAGGAACCACACGGCTTGTTTTCAACTCTCTTCAACCCTTATGAGCCACAGAGAGGCATACATTTTACAGAACTTTTGTGCCCATCTTATGATTTGCATGAGATGATCTGTTAAGTTTCTCTGTACACAGCTGACAGGTTCAAGAGTTTTAACAGTAGTCTTTTAATTCACATTTGCTTTGGTATAACATATAGTTAAGAAAATCCTTATTGAATTCTTTAATGTGGAAAAAGCCTTTTTGCACCGTTTAAACTTTGACACAGGACATTTCTAAAAAAAAATGGTTAAGACCAAAAAAATCCACCACAAGTTTGACACTGTTTAAAAAAGGGAGAAAGGTTCCTTGTGAAAGGGGGTTCCTTTTATATAGGAACTAGAGTGATCTAGTTCCTATATAAAAGGAACTGGATCAGTCTAGTTCCTGTGTAAAAGGAACTCGACTGATCCTGTGCATCTCATGTTTTACATCAGGTAGGTAAAAATCGGACTTTGACAGGTTAGGGGAATAAAACTACTGACACAGTTGAATTTACAAATGAAATCTTTATATTTTTTTGTCAAAAGAAATGAAGCCCATCCAATCTACAATACCAAATTGAATTTCGCCGCCCGTCTTTACGCCCCGTATCCACGTGAGGCAGTGACAGACTGCTTGCTACAGGTCTTCTCTGCACAACTACAGTAAACAAGTCTTCATGAAACATGCTTGATTTTTCCAGATACTTTTGCATTCAAACATTTTATTTTGGTAAAATCATACAATTGCACAGCTGAGTATTTCCCATGCAGTGCAGGAGCCTATAAGCTAATACAGAAAGCAAATTCTACGTCTAAAGAGCTCCAGGATTCTCTGCGCAATGTGAAGCCAGTCTGGGGGGGTTCAAAGTACGGAGAACCTCCTCAACACTTCCTGCAGCCGCTGTGCAGACCAGCCGCGCATAGGCAGAGAACTCCGGAGGATTCATAAATGCAAATACAACAATGAGAATAAACCACATGTTTGTTTCTTTAAGGATTGCCATGTGCCAGACATTCACTGGAGAAAAAGAATCATCAGGTCAAATTAGAGTAAAGAATCAATAATGCACACAATTGGAGAATCTGAACACTTCTGCACTGATATGCTTCGGAAATTTATTTGCTCTTTTGACAGCTATATTCCAAACCTTGGCATGTTTGTTCAATTCCATTTCAAATTTTGTCGACCAATTATCATAAAGAGATGACTGGCCCTGAGGAGGCCTGAAACAGCTGTGGATATTACTGACTGAGTCCAATGTATCTTATTTAAACATTAAAAAGCTCACACTACCCCGAAATATATAAATTTCACGCATACAGGTGACATTCAACATTCAAGTGCCAGTGTTTTTGTTACTGTCTTTTGGTCAAGTTTCTGAAACTTTCAAAGAATCACTTTGAGGCTTACAAAAATAAATATTTGTCAAAAATGCTTAATAAATTACACAAAACTAGCAGCAAAAGTAGAATCTAGAAATCTGTGCAAATGGCTAAATTCCCCCGACTGCTAAATCCCCTGGTCCCAAATAAATCCTGGTTTAAACGTTGAGAACCCTTCCCCTTTGTAAACAAGCTGCGTTTGTCAACAATCTCCTCACACACAATATTTGGAAGCTTAAGGACACATATCCAAAACATCTATATAAAACTCTAGATGTGCAATAAAAGAACTTTTTGTAAAACTTGATGGGCACGACGTACAAGGGCCTACACACCTAAATCAAGTAGCACCATTCAATCTCAAGTTCTCAACACTGTCAGTGCATCCGCTTTTAGTTCAATTTCTTAAAAAACAAAAAAAGGTTTCAAGGCACAACACAGCCAGCGAGGAGAGCTGGGGGTGAGACGCCCCGTCTCCCCTCCTTCTCCATGGCTGCTCCTCTTTGAGAGGAAAAGCCTGCTCTGGATTTTTAGAAACATCTGAGCAGATAGACTCAGACGACCTGACAGTACGTTAATAACAAAGAGGTGGACATCCCCCCCCTCCCTCCCTGATCTTTGGCCACCTCCACAGTTAGACGACGCAGCGATGGAGGAACCAAAGCTGCGAAATGACGGCGGTGCACTGAAATCTGCTACCCACCCCCCAACCCGAGTGTCTCGAGTGCCGCTGAGCACTCTGCGCCGCCGTTTGAACCTCAGTGATCATCAGAATGCCTGTCTCTTTTATTAAGATGAACCGTGCCTCCAACGCAGCTTGAAAAGAGAAAACGTTTGGTAATTAAGTTAAGCCTGCGACTCAATTCTCCTGCCTTTCCTTCCTTGACCAAAAAACAAAACACTTGCAAGCGTAGAATACCATCTGAGCCTCGTGGTTAAACACTAACACCGCGCTGTGCCCCCGATGCTGTGGTCCTTTGTGCAGCCATTTTGAACTTCACTTTCAAGATGGCAGGCATTTTTTGTTTTGTTACATATTTGTAGAGAAACGATTCAAAAATCGAAAAACTGAAGAGGTGTCAGTTTTTCAATTTCGCACACACCTGCACCAAAAATGTCTCAAGTAGAAAGAAACAAAAAACACCGCCCACTTCGTGTAGCTAGCACTCGATCATATACTAGCTGTCGTAACACTGTCAACGAGTCAATTGAAAAATGTGGAGTAACAAGTTTCCAAGCAGAGATTATTCCGTTTAAACCTCAGCGTGTGCCGGCACTGAGCTTTAATGACTTCTGTGTTTGTTAAGATTTCGTTAGGAATGACTGTCACACCCGTTTAAAGGAGCCTGTCCAGGATAGAGTGAGCAAAATAAAAAGAAAAAAGAAAAACAAATGTAACTTTGTCCCCGAAGGAGTCAAATACAGTTGCTTCACAGAGTGGCCCAGTTTGATTAGACGGAGAAATGGCTCCAGAAGCTGTTCCACTAGAAAAAGGCTACATGATGTTCCTGCGATTAATTTGAAGTTCAAATGGATTCATGACTCAGAGCCACGAAATCCCAGTGTTTGCCAAGGTTTGATTAAGTCCAAGCTTATTTGACCTTCCTAATAGTTTTCACCAAACAAAAGAATCCTCAAATCAAATTTTTTTTTTTAGAGCTCTTGGCCATGTTCGTCTGGTGAAATGAAAACATAGATTTCCTGTTTCAATTCCAAAGGCACAGTACATTAACATACAAATGATCCTCAGGTTATTCGATTGGGTTTTTTTTTTCCACAAAAAGAACAAAAATACTTTGAACAATGAGAGTCCGAAGTTGCTATCGGACTATGCATGTCAGCATCCATGCTCACTCTGAGGTGTGCGAGTCTCTGCGCTCTCCGGTGCGTTTTAGCACGTGCTGGTGACTTTCCTTCGCGTCGTGCTGCACTTCCTTTGACAGAGAAGCGAATGGCAGAGAACCAGGGTTGGTAATGTACTGTGTGTCAGTGAAGCTACACAGGGAGGGTTTGGTATGGTCTGGCTTAAGTTAACATGTGGTTTCCATTGGGCTGGGTTGGCAGGGCAACCTGTTCCTATGGCGACTAATTGCCCCACCAATCCACACTACCAGAGTGGCTGTAGTTTCCTCCGTAGCCGTCGTTGCTGTAGAAGTTGCCGCCGAAGCCACCTGCAAAAGGCCGAGGTCAGAGGTCAGTCAGGGAGCAGAAAATGTCCAGGTATGATTTTAAAGTCAAGAGATGCTGCTAGTGCTCAGAAATGATTTAACAACAGTGTTTGAAGCATACAGGAAAAACTTCTATAACCATCACTGCTCAAAAGGAGCATTTTTCTTTTTGTTTTTCTCACACCAAATTATGTGTTTCAACTGAGTAATTTGAGGATGGTTAGATGCATAAACTCCCTGTATGATGCAACATATTGTTACAGGGTTAAAACAGAAGCTTTATGCAGTCTTAACTGAACACTGAATTAGACGTTTAAACTAAAAAATAAAGCTCTCTTCCTCACCTCCACCAAAGCCGCGGTTCCCTCCGTGGCCTCCAGTGTTTCGTCCTCCACGGTTGCTGTTGAAGCTTCCTCCACCACCGGATGTCTGACGGTAATCCCTGGCTCCGAATCCGCCAGAGAACCTGAATGAGGAGGAATGTTTGTTAAAAACTTAACCCTACAGACCTTTAAGGCAGAGTTTGACCTTTCTTTATTGACACACGCAGCTCCGCATTTTCCTCGTATCAAGTCTAATATGTAAACATCTATGTTGGTTAAAATACTCGTGTGTTTCTTTACCTCTTGGAGCGTCCACGGCTGCTGCTCTTATGCTGGTGCTCATAGGCCAGGCTTTCAAGCCAGGAGGGAACCTCCTGCTTGGCCTCTACCAGAATGTCCAGCAAATCTTTGGTTATGTTGCTGTTTTTGTCGTTAAAGAACGACGTGGCCAGACCTGAATGAAAAATAACAGTAACATCAGACTGGGGATTCATTTATCGGGTTTGTGTTTATAATGTGGTTCTCTGTAAAGTTCTCACCAAGGTTGCCCACACGTCCCGTACGGCCGATACGGTGAACGTACTCCTCAATGTCACTGGGCAAGTCAAAGTTAATAACGTGTTTCACGTTGCAGATGTCCAGACCTCGAGCAGCCACCTGGAAAAGTTTAAATGGTTAAAAAAAACTTTATAAAAGCACAATCAGACTGATTAAAGTCCAAACTCTCCACTGTTTCAAATGAATTATAGATATTGGGCCAAAAAGCCAAATAAGAAAAGCTCAAATCTGTTCACACCCAGTTGAGTTGCAACAGCCTAACGAGTCCTAAATCTGAGCATGCTGGGAGTTTGACACAGTAAGAATTTAAGAATTAAGAGAAATGTTGCCTCAGAGAATTTTGCCCTAAATACTCCTGCATCTGACCTCAATTTATTTAAACCCCACAAAAATGTCTTCACTCTAACAGGAGAGTGAAAATTGGAGCATTTATTACTTACAGCTGTAGCCACCAGGATGGGACAGCGTCCAGATCTGAACTGGTGCAAAGCCTCCTCTCTGTCCCTCTGGGATCGGTCTCCGTGGATGCTGGTGCAGGCGTAACCCTCACGGTACAAAAAGTCCTCCAGAGCGTCTGCTCCTTTCTTGGTTTCCACAAACACCAGAGTCAACGAGTCTTTTCCTAAGAGACCGAGGAGAGGGGACAAGAGGGAGGAGAGCAGGATGAAGAGCACGAAAAGAAGAGAGGGGAAAAAAGAAACAAAATCATTGATAAAGGGGAACGAGGATGTGGGTGAAAGTTTCTTAAATCAAAGACGATGGGAGCAGAACTTAAAGCTGTCTCTAAAATAAAAGGTCAGCAACTGCAAAACATGAAGATAAAGAAAAACCAAAAACCCAAGATGACAACTCAGGAATGGAGACAGGGGTTGCATAAGAAGCTTTACAATCACGGACAACCATTAACTGACCCTGGCTTCATCTTTTTCAGCATGAAGCATCAAAATGAAGATTTCAGTTGTAAATGATATCTTTATTTTTTAAACCACTGTTCTTTTTCGTTGACATGCGAACACCTCTGATTAAAAACTTCAACTACGACTTAACAATTATTGATCACAGATTAAATTGTAAAATCTACAAAAACAACTAAAAATGTAATTTTGTGGAGTAATCCACCAAACATCTCAAGTAACTGGAGTCATTTTCACTACAGCAGCACTCACAGTCCCTCATGCTGCAGAGGAAGATGTCATAAAATAAAACATGCCTGATGTAGATCAGGTCATCAAGTTTTTACATATAGAGGAAAGTGTTGAGGTTTTGGACGTTTAGGGCTCTACAAACACCTGAGTCTGGACTATCTGATGAATCACTGCCTAAATTTAAGGGTATGTAACGGTATCCTCAATTTTATATCATTCAAACTGAGAACGAATGTTGGACCTAGTTCACTATGAAGACCGTGAAGGGTTGCTTACATTTTAGGAGGATCACAGAGGTCTGGACAGTTGCTGAACACCGTTTTATGACAGCTTCAGTCCGATTTTCAGCACCTGCATAAACTACAAGTAATCCAGATGCAGTAATTCATGCTCTAGACTATTTAGAGGACTTATATGGTTGTTTTGTCAATGTTTCTTTTAGGGGAGGTGTAAACCATCTCAGCTACATTGTCTTCAAATTGAACACCTTCTCCCTGAGTATTTGTTCGATCTTTTAGCCAAGCATTAAAGTTATGACTGTGTTTCTAGTTTTAAAAGCCTCACTGTCTAAGTAACGCACTACCATACTAAATACTATCCTACAAACTAGTTCGAGGTGTTTTTGTGAAATTTGATACCGGTACATCCCGGGCTGCTAGCCTACATCTTTAGCATTAATGGTGACCAGAGAGAAAGCTTGAGATAGAAATATCTGAGGGGAGACGGTGGGAGAGGCCAAACAAAGTAACTCATCAAGCTAACTAAAGCCCTCTGGTCATCTGAGTTACTGATGTCGGAGTCTAAATCAGCTCAATTAGATGGTTTTAAAGCGACTAACCCTCGTCTCTTTACTTTGGTTCTTAATGGCTAAATATGGGCTCTAACAAAGCTGTTCATGACATCAATCGCACATTAGTTTTGATTTTTATGGTGGCAGCTGCACATTTTCACTTCTACAGCTTTTATGGAGGTTCCTTTAAAACGAGACATTTTTAACTCTAAATCTGCAGCTCAAACACAGTAATTTAAGATTACCATGATTCACCTTCTTTCCTTTTAAAGAAATCAGAGGTCTAACCTAGATCCACAGAAACTGTTTCTGCTCACTCTAACAGATGGTTGTGACAGATTTAACAGCGCAGACCTGACTCATGGAAACTGAGAGCTCTTTCTATGACAACCAGCCAACATGGCCGTGTTGAGCCAGCTGACCTTAACGCTGGAGTTGATGACACTAAAAAAATGCATCTTTTTTTTTTTTTTTTTTAAATTAAATCAGGACTAGTGTGAAGCAAACATCATAAAATGTCCTAGCGGCTCGTTGTAAAAAATGAAAGAAACAAACAGAAGTGAGGCAGCATGTCAGCCGGGGAGCGAGGGACAGGATGAGCTGTGGGATGTGATGTTTCTGGCTTGTGGGTCAGAGTGAAGTTATGGTATATGTTCATACTTACCGGGCTTCTCTGGGGCCTCTGTCACATTTTCCTGAACCTCACTGGGAATAACTAAGATAAAACCAAACCGGCCAGTAAATGTGAGGCTACTCAGCACAGAGAAATCACAGCTTAAGATCATCATGAGAAACCCTTACACACAGCTGTCAGCGCCTACTTCTCCCCTGTATGAGAGTGTGTTCTGATATTATATCTGTCACTGCGAGCTCTGGCCATTATGAACAACATTTGTTAAGTAAGCAGAGATGCAGCAGAGTCAATATTAGCTTGATATGAGGCAGACTGACAAACACAGGATGATGGGTTAGAGTCCAAAGTGGCCTTCATGGGAGGTGGAAAGGGTTCTCTAAGTGTTCGGGTGTCCGGCTTACCTGTGGCATTGAGCAGATCCAGAAGGAAAGACCTCTTATCGGTCTCTTCTACCCAGACCACCTTCTGGGTGATGTTCTCGGACGTGGAACCAACACGGCCCACTGCCAGGAAAATGTAGTCCTCAAGGAAGTCACGAGCCAGGATCTACATCGACAAACAAATCAAACAGATAAGAGGCAGATATTTTTAACATCAAAACAAGATAAACCGACCGAGAGCGAGAGAGGGAGGACAGTTTATCTTTCTACTGTGAAAGACTGCAGCAGCTTCTCCAACACAAACATCATCTCCTCCGTTATATAAAAGAAAAACTACTGAACACTCAATAGGAAAACTTCCGTTTGATTTGAGTTTATATTCACTTTTCGATGGCTTAGATAATCCCTCTGGAAAATGGCTTGTATAGTTCTTGTTGTTTTACAAGGTATTATTGTAAATGCCAATATGTTGGACTCTTGACTAGGACTCTGGACTTACTTGTATTTTTGATTAGTGATCTTAAATCCCCAGTATTTCCAATGAGATTTGGTTAGTCTGTATTTCATATACTAAACAACAGGAAAACTGGATTACAAGATTGTCAGAGAGGAAGATACTCTCCAGGGAAATAAACCTTCCCTTACTTTTGAATATATTTGATGAATCTTTAACAACTTGAGTATACAGATAGTATAAATGAATAGAAATTTTCTTTTATCACTTTTAAGCAATTAAACCTCTAAACTTTGCAAAACACTGCCATTCTACAACTGCAGTTTACGTTGTTCGTTTGCCTACATACCTGGATTTCCTTGGGGAAGGTTGCGCTGAACATCATGGTTTGACGGATGCCTTTAGGCGGCATGGTATCCTGCTCCACTATACGTCTGATCTGTGGCTCGAAACCCATGTCTAACATGCGGTCAGCCTCATCCAGGACCAGGTAGCTGCAGAGACATGATTTATTAGAACACAAATCTCCAAGTCCGACTGTTACCTTTTAATAAATACTCAGAGGATCCTCAGCAGAACTTACTTGCAGTAGTCCAGACCGATCTTGCCCCTTTCCATCATATCAACCAGACGTCCAGGTGTGGCCACCAGCAGGTGACAGCCTCGTTCCAAGTCCCTGATCTGCTGTCCGATGTCAGCACCTCCATACACCACGCAGGGACGCACACGGGAGCGATAGGCAAACTAAAGAGACAGATAAGAAGTTAAGCTTAGAGTTGCCTTTTGTCTCTACACTAATAACTAAAAGAAAGTTCAAGTTTCATTACATGCATGTTTTTAGCTCACCTTTCTGGCCTCATCGTAGATCTGCAGAGCCAGTTCTCTGGTTGGAGCCAGGACCAGGGAGATGGGGTACTGCTTGCGGCGGCCATACCTTCCGTTCTCCTGAGAACGCAAAACATTTTGTTTAACAGAACAGTCAGATACTAATGCTGTTTATACTTCGTCGATTTCTTTTCCAGTACCTGTCCAGTGTTCTTGGGGGCCTGCAGAGCGTCTCCGGGCCCCTCGGTGTAGATCTGACTCAGCACTGGCAGCAGGAAGGCAGCGGTCTTGCCAGAGCCTGAAATACAGCAGGGATCATACATTCAGTTTTAGAGCAGAAACTAAAAATATCACAGAGCTGTGGAGCCCTGAGGAAATGGACCATAACTTTCCATTTTGTAACAACTGTTATGATTCATTCAGCTCGGAAAAGAGATGGTTTATCTACAGTGAAAGAAAAATGGGTGCTTATGCTCACCGGTCTGAGCACAAGCCATCAGGTCTCTCTTGGACTTGATGATGGGGATAGCGTGCTTCTGTACAGGAGTGGGCCGATCGTAACGGCTCAGATTGATGTTCCCCATGATGATCTCGCCCATGTCCACATCATGGAACTACAAAAACCATCACAAACACCATCAGTATGGGAAACAACATATCTTAAATATACAAAGGCGTGTGTGATGATCTTATTTCAGACTTACACTCTCGATGTGAGGAGGGCAGTTGCTTCCTGTGGCCTCCACTGGGATGTCGTCGTATTTCTCAAAGTTTATCCCAGTGTTGCTTCCAGAGAAAAGCTCACTGGACAGAAAAAAAAAAAAGAGTCACACAAGTTGAGATTGAAAGCAGAAAAGAAGAATTCTGTTGCTTGCAAACAGAAATCTAACTTACTGTTCCAGGCGCTCATTGGGGGCGGTGGGCTTGGACCAATCCTCCTCTCTGACATCCTCCACCCAGCGAGTGTTTCCTCCACCAGCAAAGCCTCCACGTTCATATCTATAGTGTTAGAGTGTTGAGAAACAGAATGTTACTCAAACTTCTCTTGAGAAATCTTTGTCAAAGTAGCTGAAGAAAGATCCCCTTTACATGTTCAGTACTCATAAAAATAGTTGCTGATTAAAGAGCCTTGTGTTTGGTAAGATTTGTCGCTATTTTGGAGACTTTAAAATACCGGATTTTTCGCACTATAAGGCGCACTTAAAATCCTTTTGACTTGTCAGAGCACTGCAGCTACCGTAGCCTCCCGAAGTTATATAATGAGGAAAATAAATAATCTGGTGCGCCTTATAGTGCGAAAAACAAGAAAGATCAGCTAAATGTAAAATATTTTGTCTTAAATCCCATCACCACATCATATGGACATGAATATTAATAATAATAACTAAAAGCAAAACATAAAATGAACACAACCACACACCTTCCTCTTGAGCCCGCCCCACGGTCATTGTAGAAGCCGGTCTTGGCGCGATCGTTGCGTCCTCCGAAGCTGCTGTAGGCTGCGTCTCTGGGTCCGCCCCAGTTTCCGTCCTTGTTCTCATAGTTGCCGAAGCCTGTTAAGAACCAAAATTCAGATGACGTTTAGATGAGGGAGGCTTTTTTCCCTTTAGGAATCAGCCTCCGGTGGGCGTCGTTTTCTTACCAAAACCGGACACAGTAAATCCCTTTGAGCAAGTAAAGTCACGCTGAATTAAGTAAACTCCTAAAAATATCAAATCTGATCTCCAGAGCCATTATCTAAATGCAGAGTTACATCATTCTGACTTCAACAAGGGTGGGGGGAGGGCTGACCTTAGATTTTTAACTACTTCTGTTTGTCTACGTCTAGTTATTGATACTGAGGAACGACAGGATTTCCCCACCTGCATTCTGTAATGGTTGATTAAACGAGCCTCCACCCCTGTTACCACGGTAGGCGCCTCGCCCACCTCTATCATTGCGAGGGGGTCCTCGGCCTCCAAAGCCCCCGTTTGTGCGGTTGTCGTGGTAACCATTCACAAATCCATTGCTGCGTCCTCCATCCCATCCGGGAGAATCTTCATGGGGAGACAGAGGGAGAAGGAGACTGAGTTAGAGGCTTCAAAGAAGAAAGACAAACTGCAAATGTTAAAACACATCAAAAGATCTAACTGTCATGAGTTTCTCTTTCAGAGCTAATTTTACTCAAGAGCAAAATTTCCTGACGGGTGGGATGCAAACAGACCACAACCAGGACTAAGTTTGCTTTAAGTTAAACAGCAGCAACAACCTCTGTGTCACACTGTGAGTATTGAATATTATGCGAAGCAAGTTCTACACTTGTGCAAGTGACAAGCTGCAGAATTTGTTAAATTTCTATATCCTACATCCTAAGGACTGGTTTTAGTTTTTTTAAAAAGGGTGACATCTACTGTTTGGGACACTACGCTGAGCACACTAGCTGCGTCATCGTCCCCATTTGTGGCCTCACTGTTATCAGCACACTGAGAAGAGGCTGGTGGGGGAGGACTAGAAGGGCTGCTAAGTGGGGGTGGGGTTGGTGGGCTAAAGCAGCATTAAGGCCATACAGACACAGCCTCTGATGAGCTTTGCTGCATCTTTAAGGCTGCATCTGTGCAGGTCTTGGTCGATTCCTGCAGACCAACAGATAAATGCTTCCAATGATGAAGCATGTTGATGCTCGAAAAACAAACACAAACACACGCACACCAATAATCAAATCCATGCCAGACAAGTGAGAGTTTGTCCATCTAAGAAACCGGTCTGAGCAGGTGAGTTCACGTCATACTAAACTAAACTTTAAGCGCTTAAGCAAACTCTTGGTGGTACTGAGGAATCATCACATGTATCTTAAGAAGGACAAGACTGTTTGCAGCTGCAGTTTGAATCTTTCCCTGCTCCCTTTATACATCTGGGAAGGTAAAGCTCTCCATGGTTGTTAGCTTTGCTTGAGCTGGTGGGCATTGCGTTTTGTCTGCTGTTGCTTTTTTGTTTTGCTCTTGATGTCCAAGCCTGCAGCATGATTGTTGGCTGCTTGGTGTCTTCTTCCACCTCAACATCAAGTGTATCTAGTGTTTGGGTGGTGCAATTACAGGTTTAGATTGATTGTACTTCTCGGGATGCAGTTTCATCGGCATGATATCTGTATCAGCCTGCCAAGTCTGTTATCAGGATCAACAGATGTGAAATTTCTGCAGATAATTATTCCCCTAAACGGTGAGGCATTAACTACGTGTATATGATAACAGCTCGCACATGTTGGCAGTATAGAAATTTTTTCAGTGTCAGACAGCAGACAAGTTTTTTTAATTCACATACTTTGTCAAATACATTTATCATTAGTGGGAGTATTTGTCAATACTGACATTTCGAATGTCTGAAGAAAACAATATCAGGCATCCCAATTTCGATCGAAAATTTTACATAATAAATACTATCATTGTTTTATTGCTTAGCCCTGTTTGGATGTGCACACTGCAAACATCTTCAAAGCCGGTTACATCAGTTCACATCAGACAAAAACACGACCTAACTTACAAGTACCACCACAACGCAATATTGATGTAAGAGCGCGCTGTAATGCACCAGAGATACTAAATATACAAGAATACCTTTAAACTTCGAAAACTGTCACGTGAGAAGCTTGCAATGATCTAGTTGGTGATTTTACATGACATTAAGAAATGCCTTTTTAGATTTAAGGAGGGGAAAAACAACATTCCTATTGTATAAGCCGGAATTAACCATGCATCATTTAAAACTAGCATATGGCTTACTAGTAAACACGAGTCGCTCAGACAGGAGATAAAAAAGTTCTGCCCAGTCCTCCATATAAAAGGCGAGCACTGATGCGCTCTTTGCCTTCTTTGATCATGGTACCAAATCAGTCACACTCCTGATCCCGACCACAAACTGACGCCATATTCCGGGTTTTTCTGCCAAGCCTGCTCGACTTCAAAGACTTTAAAATTCATTTGACTCGTTCCTTTAATCAAAGAAAGAGCTCCACTCGGGGTACAAATTGACACAGACACTCTGCCAACTCCCGGCCTGAAAAAATCTGGTGCATCGTTTTCATCACATGCCTGATAATCAGTCTGCAAACAGCAAAGATCAGGCTGGGGAGAACAGCCTCTTTAATTAACTAGCACTGCTTTTTTAGACCGACGCTACAAGTCACCAGTGTCAAATCATGTGCCAAAGAAGTGTGTTTCTGTTCCGCCACCTACTGCACAGGGAGATTTTAGCGGCTGCTCTAAACTCACACCAAAGACAAATGACTAATCAGAGAAATCTCTGCGAACAAAGGCCTGAGTGCACTCATGATCTCAGCTTTGTGTTTTATAATCTCTTTATTTCTGTTCAAAGCATGCCACTGGCAAACACTAAAAAGCTAAAAGGTCTTTTAATAGCTAAAAAGAAGGAGAACTTGTGATTATCAATAATCTGGATTTTACTTGTAACTATGTAAAACTGTAAGAATTAATGTCAAAATAAAACCCCTGCTTTTATTCCTCGACTTGAAGGTTACAGAGTTTGAGTGTTGCATTAAAAAGGAGGTGTTGGGTAAGTCTCTCACAGCTGATCTTGTGTGGTTATTAGTACAACAGTCACACTAGTGATGCAGTGCAGCCGCACCTTCACCATGCATCACTTCACTTGCAAGCTTTGACAAACATGTTAGGCCCAGATTTCTGCTGCTTTCCTAAGTGACCATGCCAAAGCAAGGGCATGTTAATTTAGCCCTGGTGTTCAGCTAAAATACACCATTAAAAAAACTCTGCCAGTACGTAAATGGCATGACATGCAGGTAGAGGTCAAAGTATACCACTTCTGTTTCGCCAACCCCCACTGTAGGCATGGTAAAAGGCAAGCTCTTGAGAGGCCAGTCTTGGGTAACCTGAGCAAAGGTAGGGAAGCAGGCTATAAAAAGACTCTCCCATCATTACTGGCTCATGCAGTAAGAGTGTTGGGGCTTGACTTGACACTGATAGTTACCAATCGTGCAGTCATCCCATCCTGTTGTACAGTTATCGTTTTGTCTTTGCTGGCACTCTGCCTGCCATGGTTGTGGGCACTGTTTTGAAGAAACTAAGCGACATTGCAGGTGAGATATGGGCTGAATACACAGTGAATAAATGTGTACCAATATATCTGCCACAAAAATATTAGCAATTAAATTAAAACAGCACTGATTTGACAAGCTCTTGCTTAAGTCAAATTGCTCTTTACTTATGGTATGATATATTTGTCATTGGACTGCGAGCATCCCAGCAGAGAATTAACTTTGAATTAACAGTGAGGTGTTTAGCTCTAACTCATCCCTCTCCCCCTTTGCTGCTGTGTAATAATGGCTACTTCATGCATCTGAAAATGCAGATTGCCCTCAGCGAAAGCAGACAGAAGGGACTTACAGAGATTTACTGGTGCCACTGTATAACCGCACTGTCTAGCAGCGGAATAAGCATTTCCTGCTGTGGAACAAGAAAACAGTAAAACGAGAAAAACGTCAAGTGTGCAATGACACAGAATCATAGTTCCAAGATGTTTATTAAAAAAAAGGTTAAAATTATCTGACTGTATATGCCAGGCGTGTGTTCTGAATAAGAGCCTTTAAGAGGCTAAAGCAGCACAAAAAAAAACTTATTAAATCTCATCCTGGCTTTGAAAAAAAAAACATTCAAAGTAAAGAGATGTCAATATTTATACAACCCCACCTCCCTTTACTTTCCCCTTTATCAGAGCAGTCAACAGCTAGCACTCCTCGTTCCAAATGTGGGAAAATAAACTTGAGAAGATTGTGTTTTTCTAAAATGTCAATTCAAATCAGACGGTTTGGAATTTATGAGCAGGTTGTGTTGAAACTTCCCGGCTAATCATTTTTTTGTACAGAAATCCTCGAACGAAATGCCAAAATAAGCTTTCAGGCACAGACAGAGGACCACTTGGACATGGCTCTCTCGTCATTCTGTGCGCTGGGTAACGGTCACATGGTGGGAATGAGCTGAACGCTGCAAATGCAGCCATCTTTGAGCCGGTGAAGACCAATGTGTCCAATCTTGCCTCACCATTTTTTCCTTTCTCATTGTGCTTGCTTTTACCATGCTCTGATGGGTTTAAACAGTGAGAACACCACACCTCAGACCTGTGTGGGTGCTCTTACCGTGGCTCAGCAGATGACTGGTCCATCAAACTTACCATTTTTAGGAGCATCTTTGTTTCTCAGGTGTGGTGGAATGTAACGCCCTGAGGAGAGAAAACAGAAACACGTCATTTATGAACGGAAAAACAGATAAACATATTTCAAGAGTCTGGTTTACTTCACCAGACTGAGAGCCAAAAAATGGATAAATAGATAAATAGATGCTGCATTTTACTCCCAAACTACTGAGGTTTTATCACAGTTGCACAATAAAAAGCACTGATTAGTTCGGTTAGGTAAAACCTCTCCTGTTTTCTATACACAACTAGCTACAAAAACTGTAATCAGATGTAATATGGCTTGATATAGTCATTTACAATACATACTGCCAGTTCCTCCGCCTTGTCCGTCAGGGGAGTTCAAGTCTAGGGCAGCAAGCTGCAAAGAAAAGGGGTGAAAATTTAAATTATTTTATTTACATGGTTATACGAAAACAAAGTTCACATTTTTTCCACGGAGACTGGCATTTCTTTTCTTTTTAAGAACCCAGAGAAAGGGGAAGTTGGAGCAAAGAGAACAATGTGTGCAGTGCTGAGGCTTATAAAATAAATTAACATGCAAAGATGCAATTGTTAATTTGTAAAACCTTAATAAAGACTGACGATTTCATGTTTTTTTAATCTAGTATAGATCACACACCAACAGGAGCTGATCGAAAATTAAAGATGGTGCAAAAAACTGCAGTTCCTCAAGATTTCACCATCAGAATAAAGGTTTAACAAACAAAAGCTACTTCAGATCTAAGAAGTCTTGGGGGTTTGGATACGGACCTGCTCAATATGTACAGTCTAGACAGAAAACAAGAAGTAAAACTGCCTCTTTTGGAGTAATTTCACAAATAGAGTAAAAACCCTAACTGTATTTTATAGCTACTTGGTGAAGGCCTGTCATGTGTGGGATGTCCATGTTTTGGGGGGTTTACAACAAAAGAGCACCTATTTAAGATTTTTAAATCAAGAATAAAAGTTTGACACACTCAGACTGCACACCCTCTTACATAATCTTGTCTAGCTCTGACAAGTCTAGGTATGGAATTCAGTCCTGGTTTTTCATTGTCTGAACAGACAAAATCAAGTTTGCTTTTTTTTTATTTTTACAAGTACCAGTTATCTTTCCTAAATATTTTCCTCGATTATAAGACTAAGACACATACACACACACACTATGGTAAACCTGATCATCTGAGAAGTCTGAGTATTGGGATTCAGGCCAAGACAGACAAAACAATAAACAGCCCATCTTAACAGAATCTCATATAGACTGAAGGAATCACAAGTCTAGTCTAGATCCAACGGTCTAGGTGAGGTGGTTTCTGATGAAGACCTTGTTCCTTAAGCCTCACTAGTACAAGCTTGAATCGGAAGCTACGAATGAGATGCTAACTTCAGCGTCGTCATAACACAACGGTAGTCAAAATTCCGTCAAAAAACACCTATTTTTGTGTTAACCGTTTTCAATTTTACTCGATTAATCGACTGATACATGACACTGCTATTGAGTTTTCGGTTACTCTGACCAGAAATTGCTGACAATTCAGAAAAATAATGTAAAAAATCGAAATAACGTCTCATTAACAGCTTAAACGGATCCAAATTCAAACAACTGAATGATTTGTTGGCTCTGGCGCTTCGGCTTTCAAAAACATAAACAGTCGATGAAGCCGGTGCCAACATTTTTTCCTGCGCCACGTTTCAGGTCGAGAAGGCCGAACATTAGCCGGGCTAGCTCAGGATACCGGCACGTTCGTTATCGACAATTTAAGTCGAAAATAGCCGCATAGTCGAATAAAACCCGGGGAGAATACAGGGTTAGTAATTTTTAGATGGATTAGGACTATTTTTCGATATGTCAGTGAGTAAAAACCACTAGAGTAGCTGTTAATTAGTTCACTGGCACAGTGGAGAGAGGAGCTCCGCCATCACAACCTCCTCCACAGCGACATCAAACCTCCATTTTAGCAGCCGCAGCGTTAGCTTAGCTCGGCGCTAACAGACCTCTTTCTCGGTCGAAACTACATGTGCGTAGCGGAAAATTACAACATTTTTTAGTGAAAACAACACAATAGAAAACACATTAGAGTACTCACCTGCTGATCTAGACCGTGTGGATTATCAACGACCACATGACTCATAACTAAAGAGAGAAGTGGGGGATTATTTCTGAAGAGAAAGGATTTTCTTTGTTAGCACGGCCCGGCTATGCTCAATCGTTAACTTCCTTTCTTGTATAATTAACGACCTTGAGTTACGTATATAAAGTTATCTAGACGTTGACGCGTAATTTAAATAAATAAAACGACGGTGTTAGTTATAAATATATAAATTCCGTTCAAGTTTCCAGATGAAATGCTTGCTGTGGAGCTGCTGAACAGAAACCCCCTCCCGGCAGGTTTGATCGTGGTGGAATGAGACATCGAGTGCTCAGGTAGCGCGAGATATCATCGCCTCTGTAACCCGAGGCCAGAGAGTCGCTCGTTAAGTATCGCGAGATTATTTTTTTTTTTCTCTCTCTCAAATGGCCAACAGCAGAGAAAGCAGCTGAAGACACATGAAACCAATCATCACGGTTGGCTGGAGTTTCTCAGTCCAACAGAAGTAGAAAAATGTGAAATATAAACCTCGATGCGAAACATTAGCTTCAGAATCATTATTAACGTTCAATATTACTAAACATGAAAATTATTTGGCACACTACACAAGCATTTCTGGGATTTTAAGATATGCTGTATGTGTTTAACAAATCCCAGTGATCAACAAGAAGAAAGATCATTTATTTATATATGCATAGTTCATATCTACCCCAGATACATCAAACAACCCCCACATTTCCAACATGTCCACAATTATTTGATCTTATTTTGGCTTACTGTCCTTTTAGCCTTTGTTTTACTTTTAATCTTTTCTTATTTAACCTTTTAGGCCTTTTATTGATTTATTCATTTTTTCCTGCCCATTTTTGTCATTATGAATATTGTCTTTTCATATTTACTTCACTTCAACTTTATTATCTCCCAAAATGGGCAAATCGGGTTGCAGCAGGCACAGGCATTAAAAACACTGCCATACATCATAAAAGAAGATAAAAGAAAATACATTTACATAAACAACAATTTAGGAGGTAAAAAGCATTAAAAACGATTTAGAAGGTAAAAAAAAAGCAGTATATGTCAGTCATACCAGGCCCATCAGACCTAGAGCCGATACCCCTACTCCATAGATCACAAGATCACAATAATAATTTACTGTCCCGTTTCCTGCTTTCTACCCCCCCTTTTTATTACATTTCTTTTTCTTATCTATTTTATGTTTTTATTTTGGTCCTCATGGTCTCATTTTATGTTAAAGGGTTCTTGTATTGTCTGGGTTTCTTATGAAAAACGATATTGGCCTTTAATTCAGAGGCCTTGTTTTCAACTGAGCTTTTGTTTTTTATTTACATGTGCTGATGTTCTGTGCTTTACGAAAAGCACTTTGTAAACTTCTGTTTTTAAAAGTTCCATGAAAACAAAGTTATTATTATTATTTTAGACTCTTTAAAGAGCCTTGTAGTCACAAATAGTAATCTCTTCATTAATGTGCAAGCAAGGTATTAACTTGTTTTCATAAGATTGATAATTCGTGTGCACAAGATTTTTACTTGTCCACACAAGTTAACAATTCATGCTCTCAGGATATTAACCCATGCACACAGGATAATTTGACATGATAATTTTATATTGTGTGCACAAGATATAGGCCTACTGTAGATCTGCACAAACGAATAACTTGTGTGCGCATGATATTAGTCCATGCAAAAAAGATAACAAGATGTTGACCTTGTGATAATGAGAAATTATGTTTTGCATGCATGTTATTACATGTGCACAAGACACAACTTTATAATCCTGCGTGCACAAGCTTTCAACTTTTAACCCCAAACAACTTGTTACCCCCTTATAAATATTATTCATACTAACCGTGGCATACAAATGAGATAATAGGATGCACACAAAAACATTTATGTGAGCAAGATAGTTACATGTAGTTATTTTGTTTGCATGATTCTTATCATGTTGGCACAAATTGATAACTAGTGTGTAAAAGATTAATTCCTGTGTGCACAAGATCCTAACTTGCTGCTACGAGATTTCTATCTTTGAAAACATTGTACAATTGTACATTGTACAAAATGCCTTTTGGACAAACAAGGTTATCAAAAATGGTGCAAACACTGAAGAAGATAGATCCAGATGGTCGCTCACTGCTAAGCAGGCCACAAAGTCCTGGTGGTTCAATAGGACCATAAACCCAGAAAGAAAGGTAACATGCCACAGAGTTGATAAAAGCTCAACGACCTGAATCAGAGAGGACTAAATTCTGAATACAATCCCTTTACTGTTCCTAAAAGCTGTTCAAATTGGCCAAAAGATCCATAAAAACAGTTTTAAATGTCCTCGGTCAGGTCAGAAAGGTCAAACATAAGCTGAACCAAATCCTCCCCCCATCCTCTCTCATCTCTTCCACTCACATCCCCCCTCTCTGTGTTCCATTCAGCAGTCTGTCCTGCATACAGTCGCTGCAGCCTGGGAGGCCTGATCCAGTCATTTATCCCCACTGCACGCTGCACCAGCCGAGCGAGGGCAGAGGGGACCATATGTCACCAGGATCAGGTACACTGGGAGTAATTGGCTGTGAGGAGAGAGGTCAGCTGTTGAGAGCTTGCTGACATGACAAAGAAATCTCCCCTTTACTTCACCTTTGAGACGTCACAGTTCAGGAAAATGAAGTTTCTCATGATAGAGATGAGTCACAGAGAGGGACTCACTCTGTATCTTTATTCATGCTCTAACCAGACTGTCCACTTTACCTGTTTGAGCCGTTATTGAGGACAGACAGGAGGATCAGAGCGTGTATTTCCACCATAATTATTATCCATGAGTCATCACTCACAGTCATTTGTATTTTCCAGCAGGTAAGATGAACCTGCCTACTCAAAATATGTTGCCTAACTTGATAGTGAGCCGTCAGAGTGGGTGTGAAATGTAAACTTGTGATGTTCATCATGCACTGATATGAATCCATCTCAAGTTTCTTTATCTCTCCTCTTTTCTAAACTTGAATTTTATTTTGGTTGGTGTCACAGAACAAAAGTGTGTGCTTCGATAAGTCTTAAAGGCCTAGTTCAAGTATGTTTTCCTCGAGGTTTCTGTAGCTGTACTTTTGGCTCCATCTGCTGGACAAAATTATACCTTACGCTGAAAGTAAAGTCTATAACTGCGCCACTGCTCCTGCTAATATATGCATAAGTCCCCTCCCTTATTTAACGTTTGATCAGTGGCTAATAGCACGATAACACATTAACCCCTTGCAAACTATGCGTATAATCTGGATAAACTTTAGTTTGAAATATTTACCATATCTGAGGCAAGTATTTATCACAGTAGAGAGGATGTGATGTGATTATTTCTTTCAGTCAGGGTTGTTTTACTGTCCTGTCTTTCTTATAGCTCACTCAAGGGGTTTCAAAAGCAGCCATTTTTTCTGGTTGATTGAACAGAAATTGGACGAGTAGACGAAGTACCTGAGAAATTATCCTGTTTCCTACATCTTGAAAATCCATAAAATCAGATTAATACTTTAACAGATTTGAAACATTACACACACCCTAATTTCTCTCATTTGTATGTAAAAGCTGCTGCATGGTGTCTCCTCCAGCGACAGTTCTGACCTCCTCACTTCACCCCACGTCCATTTTATTCATCTAACCTGGACCTTCTGTCTAAATCTGGCTCCGTCTGCTGAATCTTAAATTGCTTCAAGAAGCTGCTTAAAACTCATCTGTACAGACAAGCTTTTAATCAGCCAATCAAACGTCTTTAAGATGAACAAGAAGGGAAAGCCACTTGATAATAGTATTAAAACAGTTTCTGCCGACTGTTGAAAATACAAGGTTTAAAAACATAGCACAGGCTGATTCATTGTCTACTAACAAGATTTCACTCAGTGTTTCATTTGTGTTAACTTTCAGTCATATGAATGCACTCTGTAAACTAAATAGCTTCACCCAGTGGCCGCTGAGAGAACATCACCTCCAAATAAAAGTTTCAAATCTGACAAAACTTTATTGCGACAAAAACATTAAAAAACAGTGATCGTTAAAGAGAGAGCGACAGAAAAATCCTCCAGCAAACGCACACACACTCACTCACTCACACACCCACACACTGTAGTGAATCAGTTCATCCATCTGTCCAATGACTCCCCTCTCCTCTGATTCTGCAGGTTTTCCATGATGCTTTGTGAAATGTCACCAGCCAAACATGTACTCCATCGCCTTGGAGACAAAACTATCATCTTTCCTGGGCGTCTGTCTGTCTGCCACCACCTAAAAATCACACAAAGAAACACACATCAGTTAATCTTGGAGGTCAAACTGACACTGGACTCAGATTTTAAGGTAAGGAAGTGCATCATGAGGTCACCTGGTAGTCGCTGCTGGAGTTCCTGTAGGCGGCGCTGAGCGGTCTGATGGCAGAGCGAGGAGTGCAGGGGAGAGTGGAGGAGGGGGTGGAGAGAGGAGAAGAGATGGCAGTACTGCTCTCCATCACGCTCTACAGAGAAGAAAAAACAGTCAGGTTTTAAAGCGACTCTGAGGACCAATCAGACGGTCATGACGGTGAAACAGGAACCGACCTTGTCTATGCACGGCTTCACTCCCACCATGATGGCGTCTCCGAACACTTTCCCATCTTTAGACAGAGCTTTCCTGGCCTGGAGTCTGGACTGATACTGAAGGTGCATCCAGTTACCAGGAGACGCCATCTGTCAGAAAACCAACAAACCAATCAGTTCACTTTTCCCTCCTGTCCATCCAGACTCATCAGATTTCTGTTCTGATGGAGGTTTCTGCTCATTTTCATCAACTTGAAGGGCATCCATAGGGCACTTTGTGATTTTTCATCTTTTGGACAAACAGCTTCTAGAGCAACTCTTCAAGCATTTACCATGAAAGGTCCACCAGAGAGGACATTTCATTATTTGTCATTTACATCAAGAGTACCTAAGAGGACATTTTAGCTGCGTTTTTTTCAAGCATGAGGGCAGAAGGGGTGAGAGTGTGAGTGTCTGTGTCTCTCTTACCGTGTGTTTGAGGATGTTTCCATATTGTGCAAACTGCAGCAGGATGTAGGAGGCCGAGGCTGGAGGAAAACTGACACACACAAACATAAGACCATTAAAATGAGTTATTTACTTTAAAATAAACAGAAAAACAGTCTTTGGTGGTATACTCACCCAAACACAGTGACCCAGGTCTGGTCCAGCTGGTCATCAGACGACAGAGACTCTCCCTGACTGTAGAAGGGATCTACCTGAGCTGGAGACAGACACACCTGCTGCACACCTGGAGACAGAGAGAGAGAGGAGCTCAGGATGTGATTTAAAGAAACAATGCTGCCTTTTTCTCCTGCAGGTATTTCACATTACTGCTCACACCATGAATTAGCAGCAGGCTTGACCCAGAATGCACCTGCCCATTTAATATCACCGTTTCAGACACACCACGAACAAACTCAGCTTGTACTGAGAAAAGAAAACAAAGAAAATTAAAACTGTTTTTTCTTGAGTGAGGAGATGGAGTTTATGAAACTGTTTCACTTGTTAGGAGTCAGCAGAGGGTGACTGAAGAATAAATTAGCTAAGTATGGAAAAAAGGTTGGGAATGTTCACTGAACTAGCAAATGATGACCACCAGAGAGAAATATAAACATGTCAAGAGGCTGTGCTTTTTCAGACTTTATTATTATGGACTTTAAAACAAAGTCTGAAAAAAACTCCAGAACTTGGAAAACCAACTGTGACAGAGGTGGACATAAAATCAAAATTTTAGGATGGTAGAAGCCTTCATGATTGATGACTCTAAGGAGTTTTCAATAATGAACAAAATTGACAAAATTGAAAGAAATCCATCATCGTGACAGAGAATTTTAACCCCTCACACTGTAAAACAAACAAAGAAAAACTATGATTTAAAAGGGTGACTCAGCAGTTGCAGTATTAGTGGTTTTGTTGCAGACTCAAACACTTCAAATACCAGCAGTACAACAGGTACTTAAAGCAGGAGTGAAAGTATGAGTGTGAGTGAGTACCTGATCCTGAAAAGGAGGCTCCGCGAGCAGACAGAGGAGACTGCATCACTGGAAATGACTGAAGGGAAACAGAGAAAAACTCATTCAGACTTTGAAGTGAAACAGAGACAGACATCCTCACATAGTGTTACCAGATCAATTAATTCAGGATAGTGAAACGTAATAAAGTTCTGATTATGATTATTATGATTAGTTCTGGTATGAATGTTACTCGAAATGCAAAGTGAACCAGTGGACTGAGGGTGTTGCACACAGCAGAGACGCTCAATGTGGAGCTGCAGCTGTACACCAGGTCTCCATGAGCTATACTTGTCTCAGTCTTATTTCAGCATCATCACCAAATCCTCTTCATCACTCACACACACACTGTGAACTAACCTGCCTGTGTATGTTGAGGGGCGATGCCACAGTTATCAGGTCGTCATGGATACTGCGAACAGGTGGGGCTCCACTCTTGTCCTTAGGAGTGGGAACGACGGGCTGCGGTGCAGAACCTCCACCACCTCCTCCGACTAAAGAGCAGGAGAGACTAGTGATAAACCACAGACTGAATATAATAAGCTAGTGGGTGAGCTCCTGTTGACCTCAGCACCTACCTGTGCTCTCCACCAAGGGTGAGGCCAAACTGAAGGGGCGTGGCTGAGGGGTGACAGGAGCGGGCAGGTCCCCCATCAGAAAGCCAGGGAGAAACTGAGCCCCAGAGGTTGGCTTTGGAGACGTGGGAGACCCGAGAGTCATGGGTTCAGATCCCACTGCGACACAGAGAGAAACATATGTGTGATATAGCTTTGCTCAGGGATGGCTGGATTCATGCAGGTTGGAGGGCTCTCTTTATGGAGTAGCAGAACAACAGAGGCAGAGAGGGACTCAAAAAGAAAGATGTATGTCTGAGTTAGCCACCCCATTGCATTGCCGTAGCTACTTAAAACATTCATAAACATCTTTTGTGCTGTTAATAGTTAATATTACTACACATGCACCATAAATCGGCCGGCCGATCGATCAGCGCCAATTTCCTCAATTTTTGGGGGATCGGCTGATCCTTACATAAGAAACCGATTTCATCCTCCCATATTATCTACCTCAGCAAAGGTCTGAAAATCAGCCGTATTAGCTTTTTGTTTTGCCAAAATAACAAGCCCGTCCACTGGGTCAGGTGTGCACGCATATTATTATAAAAAAATCGGTATCAGCCAAAATCGGTTTCGGCAGGTCAAGCTTTTTAAAGATCGGCGATCGGACAGAAAATTGTGATCGGTGCACCTCTAATTATTACAGTATCTGTGTGTCAGCCAGTCTGCAAACTGGGTCCAAAAACATATTTCAGTCCCGTTTCAATCCAGATCTGTAAACGGTAACAGGACAGTAACACAGAGTTAAATATCTGCTTCATAAAGATCTCTGTTTGTGTACATGAACACATTACAATTTATTTTAACATGTAATAAGTCGCTGGATGGCCTTTAGTCACAACTTTCGCTCTTGTAAATCAGGAAACAGTGAACACACACGACAGATCGAGGTTAACACACCAACACAAAGAAATATGGGTATGAACACACAAATAACAGCAGAATAGTAATATAGCATCACAACAACAACAGTTTAAGTCTTCGTGCAAGTTATATTACCTTGAAACTCCATCTCTGTTTAGGTCGTTTCTTCTTCTTTGGTATCTGGATCCTCCGGCCGCGATTTTCAAAACTAGGAAGTGACGCCAGGCGAAGAGATGGCGAGCTAGCTAACGCGGCTAGCAAAGCTAATCGATTCGTCCCTATACCTCGCTGTTATGGACCCATAAACCTAACACAAACAAATATCGATGTGAAGAATTTATATAGTAACAGTTGAGGTCCTTATATTGGGATTCTCTGTCCGCTGCAGGCTGTCTGTTGAGGGCCGGTGTGTCGGTCTGACTTCGAGCTGAAGCACTGCAGTTCACTGACAGAATTACTTCCGGTGCGTTCAATAGAATTGGATTATTCCATTTTTTCTCTTATTTTTTGAAGAACATATCAATCTGAACAGTTTTAGATTGTGCAAGGGGAAAAAAAGACTCTCCCGCTGATTGCTACTGGTTCAAAATTAAGTCAGAAAATTCCCATCTTTCCTGCACCCACAGAGAAGTTGAGGGAAAACGATGAACAGGAATCAAAATGTCAAGACTTGTGTAAAATATGTTCATATCTTTTAGCGTTATCTACGTGTTTCTAATTAATTAGCTATTTCATAATTTCAAACACATTTTGTCAATTTTTCTGTTCATTAACATGCTTTAGTAATATCCACGTTTATAAACGAGTGTCCATGAACGCAACAAACTTCATCATCGAAATGCGGCCGATGTTCCTTGGGTAACGTCAAGTTTTCTCAGCCAATGAAAACCACAGTTGATTTCCCTCCTTTTATTTCAAAATAAGAGCACCTTTCACTACTCATGAATAATTTTACAATAACACAAACACACCGAGCATCAGAGCCAGCTGTAATTAAATAAAGTATGTGAAATTAACTTAAAACCGTGTGTAACTTTGAATACCAATGGTTTGTTATATGACATTAAAGGGATATTCCATCGTAAAACTAACTTAGGGTCAAACACACTGTAAGACTGTGTTCCATTAAGAAATGATCACTAATGTTCTTCCTTAAGCTGCGTCACCCCACAGCAGTCCGTTATGGACTGGCCCGAGGTCTCTACAAACAAGTGGCTGCTGGAATAGAGTAGGTGAGTTGTGTTTAGTCTCTTTGCTAAAGAACTACGGCAAAGTTAAAAACATGTTTAGTGACTAGTACTATAGCTAGTACTTTGGCTGGGACCCTATATATACTGTTGATGAAGTTAGGTGCTGTTCTGAGCATTATTTGTGTCTACAGCGTGGTGTTTTGGTTGAGCGCGTGGCTCTCTATTGCTATCGTGCGGTCGTTACTAAAGTTGGTATAACTAGAGAAGCTAGCGATCGGCGACATTCATCTCTTCGTGGGCTGTCTAACTCGGTGTTACGGTGTGTTTTTTACTCAACTAATTTTACGTTGGAATATTTAAACACTTGTCATGAACCTCTTGCTTTAACAGCTATATTGTGAAGGATAAAAACGGAAGTACTTCTTTTTTAGTGTGTGACACTTGATCCCGGTCTTAGCCGGATCCTGATGCGGATCCTCAGACTTTGAGAAGTTTAGACACGTCTGAGATAACGAAGCTGCTGTGTAATCAGGGTTTGACTGTGGCAAATGGCCGATAGATATTAGCAGCAGCTTCTTCTTCTCTGCAGACAGATTTATGTCGCGGTTAAAGCTGATCAGCTGGTATAAGCTCTAATTGTTTCTGCTGACTGAAGAAAAACACCGTTAGCTTAGCTCATTTAGCTTCTTTTACCCCTTTCAGCTGTCTGAACTCAAAGGTAAGATGACTTATTTTCTCTTAACTCGTTTATCACCCACTGTTTTAAGTATTATGTGTGTATTACCGCTGGCTGCACATGTTTCCTGTGTATGTTCTGGAGGTTAATTCTGCAACAAAGACCAAACATCAACCTCTAAGTTTGTATTACTATTTTATTTTACATCCCAGAACACACCCCTGATTACAATAACAGATTTTAATGGTTTGGAAGCCTGTATTTAATTGAAAACAATGCAAAGACAACATATCAAGTGATGAAACTGAAACTTTTTACTATTTCATGAAAAATATCTGCTTGTTGTAACTTTTATGTCAACAACACGTTGTCAGAGGAACAACCAAACAGGAAAAAAGTTACGCAATCGTAGAAGAGCATCCGCCCTCAGTCAACCCTGCATTAATAACAGACAGGACTCTGTAGTGGAAATCACTGCATGAGCTCTAAATCAGATCAGTGAAGGCTCCACTAATGCTGAACAATATACACAGTTTTAGAAACAATACATGCTGCCATCCAGACAAAGACCTTCATTTTTCATTCACACATTCTGCAGATATTACAACAGCATGGCTCTGTAGTAGAAGAGTCCTGCTGCTAAACTGGCCTGCCTGCAGTCCTGAGTTATCACCCATTAAAAACATTTGGACCATCATGACAAAAAATAGGACAAAGGAAACCCTGAACTGTTGAGCTGGAATCCCATGAAAGAAGAGCTGATGCAACACCATTGTAAATATGTCTCTATCATCACATGTAAAATGAGCACATATTTGCATACATCAAAAACATTTGTATTTGTTTGAATATTCTGTATGTTGTCTTTGCATTCTTTTAAATTGATTTTAGGCTGATAAAAATGATATCCAAACCATCAAATTCAGTTTTTATGAGCGTTTTAAACAGTGTCTGAAGTTTTTGGTAGGTGGGGTTATTTGTCTTCCTGCTCATTCTGACACTGCAAGTATCTGGAGCATTTATTCAGTGCAAATATTTGTGAGTTACCTGCTTGTGTGCAGCTTCAGCTGTCTTAGTACACCTTATCGAGCAGAGAGAGTATGAATTCAGAAGTCAGATGGAATATTTTGCTTTCTTGTGTGGAAGATATCTTGTTTTGTTTGATTTACACTGCTGAAGCTTCGGTCTGGCTTGAATTGGACCTCTACAATGTGTTTTTGTGTACAGATAAGGAATAAAAAATTGCTTTGAGACCACTGGTTGACCTGCTGCTGTTGCTGTTAGCTCCTTACCCAAACTGAAGGCCCTGCAGGGTGTCAGACCGGGGGGCTGGAGAAGCCTAATTGGCTTCAAACACGCCTCCAGCTGCTCCTGTGCTCTGAGCCAATCCACTGCAGACACATATCTTACACTCAGAGAGCACAGCAATGCAGAGCATGGAGCTGAGAGCATAATTACAAACAAGGCTGTAAACCAGAGTGGCTGTCCTCTTAAAGGCTGCAGGGTTAGGTGGACTATTTTTAACCTGGTCGCTCTGATATTGATGCCTGTGTGTTCCAGCTGCTGGTCTGTACTGGGAGGACTGGTGATGGGGCACAGGGTCGTCCTCGGGGTTCAGCAGCCCAGTCCCATCCGGCTCATGCTGCGGCTGCTGCTCCTCGTCGTCCTGCTGGTGGCTGTTTGTGCGGAGAGTCGAGATTTCTACAAACTTCTGGGAGTCAACAGGGAGGCGACGACCAGAGAGATACGACAGGCCTTCAAGAAGCTGGCGCTCACCATGCACCCCGACAAAAACCCTGTGAGTTAATGTGGGACACAATAAGGGCTTTCACAGGGTAGTCAGGTGGTGGAGATTGTGTCAGCAGGTACTCTTCCTGGGGTTCACATCCAACAAACAGGAAGAGAAAAGTCTCTGATGAATATCCTGCGTTACAGGGTGACCCCTCAGCCCACGAGAAGTTCCTGCAGGTGAATCGAGCCTACGAGGTTCTGAAGGATGAGGACCTCAGGAAAAAGTACGATAAGTACGGAGAGAAGGGATTGGACGAGCAGCAGCAGCAGGGCGGACGTTACGAGAGCTGGAACTTCTACAGATACGACTTTGGTCAGTCTCAGTTGTCTTTCAGGAACAGAAAACAGTTTATTTTCTTTGGTCCTGATAAAAGATTAATGTCTCTGTGCAGAAGAAACTTTCCTCTAATCTCTTTATCTGTCTTTGTGCTCAGGTATCTACGACGATGACTTGGAGATCATCACGTTAGACAGTGGAGATTTTGGTGAGGATCTCTCTTTCATTCACACTCACAGACGACACATTCTTTTCACTGTGTTTCATCTGAGTGCCAAAGACTTTTCTAAGAATGCTAAGAAAAGGTGATCTCAGAGTTGCAGTCCTGGATCTGCAGCTTTGGGGTCTGTACTTGTAACTTTGTGCCACGTCATGAGAAATCTTACACACAGTGAGATTCTCTGAGCTTTTCATGGCTGTGAAATGTCAGCGAAGGCATTTCAAACACGACATGGTAATTTCTGTGGGTGACACAGGAGACAGGTAACAGGGTAATAACTGCTGTGTGTGTGTGTTTCAGAGGCAGCAGTAAACTCTGGAGAAATCTGGTTCATCAACTTCTATTTCCCACGATGTTCACACTGTCACACACTCGCTCCAACGGTAATATGACACTAAAATACTGAACCTGCTCACAGATACACAACATTCCACTCTTAGACCACTCTTAAATCTCTCATTCTTACTTTGAGACGTCTTTTATATTTTAAGATACATTTGCAGTCCTTTGTCTGTTCGATTTTCCTCCTACAAATGACAAATGATGAACACAATAACTAAGCACGACACCATCTGTCTGTCTGTCAGTGGAGGGAGTTTGCTAAAGAGATGGATGGAGTGATCAGGATCGGAGCGGTGAACTGTGGAGACAACAACCATCTCTGCAGGAGGCAAGGCATCAACAGCTACCCGAGCCTGTTTGTGTACAGAGCTGGACAGGTCTGTGTGCTGGTTATGATTGATCGTTTTAATTTAGATGTGAAATAATGAGCTAACTGAGGGTGCCAGTGTGAAAAAAAAACCCTGCAGTGAGTCAGAGAGGACAGGACTTTATCATCGTTGTCTGACGGGATTGAAACCTTCTGTGTTTACACAAATAAAACTCTGCAGGATTTGCTCACCTGTTGACACTCAGTTGCAGAAATATGCATGATCATAAGTAACGCTTGGAATTGACAAGATTTTATTTACATCAATGCCATTATTGATTCTTCTCATCAACACCTTTGGATTTTCTGTGTGGAAAGATGTCGACATCATTTTGCACGGCACACAAACCTAAGTGGAAGGTGTCGATAAGAAAACCATTAAGTATAAACGCAAATAATGTTGAAGACTTGAACTAAATGAAACTGTTTTATGATTCCCATTCCTATTTATAAACTTTCATGCATTTTTATGCATCTGTAAAGTTATTTAGAGGTTTAATGAAAAGCTAAATTGATCGATATTAATCATTTTCTGTCTTTCCACAGAGACCAGAGAGGTTTGTCAGCGAGCGTAATAAAAACAACCTGATTAGCTTTGCCATGCAGTTCCTCACGACCTCCGTCACTGAGCTGTGGCAGGGTGAGCGCTCTGATTTATTCACTTTATATCTTCATAGCTTCATTTCCGTCTGATTATTGCTCTTGTTTTGGTCTCACACTCTGTGGTCGGACTGGTTGCTATGGTTGTGTTTTCCAGGAAACGTGTTCGCCGAGATCGAGTCTGCGTTCTCGTCAGGCCTCGGCTGGCTGATCACTTTCTGCTCGGACTCTGGAGGTAACTCACAGAGGAGTTATTTTTCATGCTCAACAGTGATCCTGTCACATTAGCCTCCCTGTATTTGCTGATAATTTCACCACAGTGTGTGTAGTCATCCTGCACAGCCAGTTTTTTATTTATCTAATATTTATTCACCAGGATGTACATTACAGAGGTAGAAACATCAAGCCAGATATAAAAAAAAGTCAAATGCAAAAAAATAGAAAAAAAAACAACATTGCACACTTGAAAACAAAGTAAGGTGGTGGCATTTTAAGTTTATTTTAAGGCCTTTTAAGTGTCACAGACTTTCACAAGGACCCGACGTTTGTTTAGTAGATGTAGAAATTTAGATTTAAAGTGTTTGAAAGTCGTTTTTATAATCAAAGATTAACGAGACAGACATGATAATCCTCTAAATCTCTCCCTCTCAGATTGCCTGGAGTCAAGAACACGGCAGAAGCTGGCCGGCATGTTGGTGAGAGCATATCAGTCATTTTCTTCAGCTCCTATCTGTCAGTATTTTTCATTGTCTTGAAAGTAGAAATCGTCTGCATAAGATGCAAAATCCAGTTATTTGTCTTTTCAAGTTGCATTTTAAAGTCATAAAAGTTTATTTAATATTTTAAAAATTGCTTCAATAAAACTTTAAAGTTTTTCTTTATTAATTTAGCACAAATAACATAAAATTCAGGGGTATACCCTGTCCTGAGCCTTTGCCATTTCACATGAAATGGTCCTTGCTGCAGTATTATTTCATCAGTGTGCTCACAGGACTGCCTGTGTTTTTGCAGGATGGTTTGGTGAAGGTGGGCTGGATGGACTGCACCTCACAGGAGCAGCTCTGTGAAAGTTTTCAGGTAAGACTTACTGCCAAAACTTAAAATTCATTTTTTAACAAGCAGTCTTGTCCACATGGCTCCATTTTTGTCTTTCCCTTAAAAAACTTGCAGACTTACAAATCGATGCACCACATTTTTGAGGTACTTTTGGATTTACCTGGAAGATAAATCACTGTGTCATCTGCAAAGAAGGAAATTTAGACATTTACATCATGTCTTTGGCTTCATTTTAGATGATTTAACACAAGAAAGCTTCTTAGAAGAGATGTGTTGATTGCAATTTCATTTGTTCAACTATTTTCATACATGACAAGTTAATCTTCTCTGTAATCTCTCAGGTGACAAGTGGAGCGACTGCTTTGTTCCCACCTGGAAGCTCCCTGGATCAGCCTGACAGTGTCTTGGTAAGAAACACACATTACTGACTGTCCATCTCATCTGTGGGAGGAAATTATCAGATTGATGAGATCCTGCAAATCATCATCATGATATGTGTTTTTGTTGCAGTGGTTGAAGACTCTGGACAGTCGAGAAATTTACAATCTGGTCATCGATCATCTGCCTGGTCTGGAGCTGCTGACAAGTGAAACCTTCAAGGTGCGAATCCTCAGAAACCTGCTACAGCTGTCATACATGCTGCATGCTAACATCCTGCTAATGATATGTAACATCCTGTCTACAGAGCAAGCTGGCTCATCATCGCTGGTTGGTCAGTTTTATGTTTGGAGACAGAAACCCCGCCTCCAATGAGTACAAGAAGCTGAAAGGTGCACTGCGAGATGACCACATACAGGTACCTGTCTGACTCTCTGACTGTCTGAAATCAGTCTCTCCGTATGTCCACCTGACTGACTGTTTGTCTGTCTGTCTGTCTCTCCAGGTTGGCAGGGTTGACTGTATATCAGACTCAGAGTTGTGTGAGTCTCTGTACATCCACAAACCCTGCGTGGCCGTCTTTAAAGGACTGGGAATCCAGGACTTTGAGATCCATCATGGTCAGTCCACTGAGCTTTACTTCACTGTGTTTATAACCTGCTGTCATACCACATAAACCAGGGGTGTCAAAGTCAAATGGACGGAGGGCCAAATAAAAAATTTAGCTACAAGCCGAGGGCCGGACTGATAGAATGTTCATTGAAAATTTTTTAAATGACGCATGTAGTCTAGTGAACCTAACTGAACCTACTGAAAACCTAACAAATATATTCCAATATGATCAGATAAATAAAGCAATATTTTCTTATGGCTCTGTCAGTAATCTTTAATTTTCAACAGACACAAAAGACAAATTTCCTTTATATAAAAATCCCCATAACATGAACATTAAATGAAAGAAACCGGTATTATTCAAGGCACCATCAGTAGCCTATATTTTCTATTTTAGCAAAAGTGGGCTAAATTTACTTCAAAGAAAAAAATAATAATAGCAATTTTCTATCATCCACTCAACTGAAATATTTTTAAAATATAATTGGATTGAAATACAATAAAAATGTGTTTCGTTTCATAATGTCGTCTCAGATTATACTCTTTCAGTACCGCCACACTTTCTCCACACAGAAGACACACAGGTTTTCCAGCTACCTCCGTGAACATATACTCCGACTCCCACCTTGTTTGAAACCCCCGGTTCTCAGTGTCCACCTTCCGTTTTGCCATTTTTGATGGGTATCTGAAAGTTAATTTTACTGTTATGCTGACAACTGCTGTGCTAATAAATATTGAAATGAAGCAGCCTACTGCTCGGTGCGTCACCGTTGCATTGTGGGAAATGTAGTATTGGTGCGTGTAAAAGATCTGCGGGCTGCCGGCTTGCTGCGGTCTGCGGGCCGGTTCTAATAATAAATCAAGATCATCCCAGGGGCCGTAAAAAACCTTGACTCTGACATATGTGACATAAACCAACACCCTTTTAACTCTTATGTCATGATAAAACTCAAGCCGGAGAGACGGATGGAAGAAATAATTGGGGTTTTAGCTGTGGAGTTCCTCAGGGCTCTCTGTTAGGTCCTCATAAATTTCCATTACTTGCAAGAACACAATATCTGTATACTAAATCTTGTTTGTTAAACCTTTGCGTTCCTCCCCTCTGTAGGTAAAGATGTGTTGTACAATATTGTGGGGTTTGCAAGAGACAGCGTTCGCGCTCATGTGACGACTCTGAGACCTGAAAACTTTCCTGCAGACAAAAAGGAGCCGTGGCTGGTCGACTTTTTTGCTCCGGTTTGTAGCGCATGACTCTCAATCAGAAAACTAATTTTTTTCATCTGTTCAGATTACATCTACTTTATTTTGCTTTTATGGTAATTTTGGTGCTGAAAGTTCTATACACTCAAAGTTGAAACACAAACCTTGTCTGTCATTTTTAGGAAGAAGTACAGCTATGAAGTTGTTCCTTAAAGTTTCGACTTAGCATGTTTCTTCCTAATGAATCCCTGTTTGCCCTTAAGACTGGAGGTTCAGGTTTCGCCTCTAATGCAAATAATGAGCCACAGTGTGACAGACACAGTGATGCAGGCAGGAGTCACACTCAGGAGCCTGATGTGTGGTTATCGTTGAGTAAATAAAGTCAGTTCCTGTTTAAATGCTGATGACGGAAAACCTTAAGAGGAGATAGAGGGAGATCATGAAACTTTAATTTGTGAAGAACTTTTCGTCCTGAGGCTGTGACAAATTAAATCTTGTGATGTAACCTTCTTAGATAACCATGATTAAATATTTTCTCCATGTTTTCAGTGGTGTCCTCCCTGTCGGGCGTTACTGCCTGAACTGAGAAAAGCTTCAATCCAGCTGGCGGGACAGATGAAGTTTGGTACTCTGGACTGTACCATCCACCACAACCTCTGCTCCATGGTAAGGAAGAACAAAACTGGACTCAATGTTTATCAAAAATCAAAGAGGTCTGAGGATGGAACCCTGTGGGACTCCATACAGAAGCTTTGCCTTATATAAACAGTTCTTCCATTTGATGCTTATACTTTTCATCCTTCTGTTTTCAGTATAATATTCAGGCCTATCCCACCACTGTGATCTTTAACGGCTCCTCCGTTCATGAATATGAGGGTCAGCACTCAGCAGACGGCATCCTGGAGTTCATACAGGTATTTATACTTTCAGATAACATATTAGACAACAGAAGCCCCTTGTCATACACTCTACAAACTCCTGAAAATTTCTTAGCATTGTCTTGGCGAGCTACGTGAATGTTAACGGCTAGCTCTGCTCACCCTGACTTTGTTCTAAAAAGTCCCGAATGGGCGTAAATGTCCTAAAATTACCCTGAAAATTACAGAAATTTATGCTATAAGGTGAAGAGTAGTGTTATTTTCCTTTCATGCAGGAAATGATTCTTATTGTTAAATACAATATCAAAGAATTTATGGATTTCTTTCACATGGAGAATACAGTCTTGCACACTGCTTCTACCTTTCCCATGATGTTTATCTTTTAAAATGGCGGCATCAACATCTAGTGAGGGACTAAAAGAGATTTTTTGTGTGCTTACAGGATCTTGTGAATCCATCTGTTGAGGTTTTGGATCCTTCAAGCTTTGCAGAGAAAGTTTCAGGTAAGCTTCAGACAGCCCTCCAAAAATTGCCTCCTTTATTCTGCTTGTTCCCAAGGACACATAAATTCCCTTCTTATTGGAACAAGGCCATAGTCACGGGGTTACAAATATAAAAAAATCTTAAAAGTGTCATTTTAAAGTGTCACTTTTATGACTTCCTCACATTACTTCTAAATGTTGAACGGATTTTCTGCTGCCCTCTTCTTTACAGGTCGATCTGACGAGGAGGTCTGGGCGGTGGATTTCTTCGCTCCGTGGTGCGGTCCCTGTCAGGCTCTGAAGCCAGAGTGGAGACGCATGGCCCGGGTACAAGACACACTGCACACACTGTTAAAGACTTGTGGAGAATCTAGAAGCTAATAAGTATCTGCTGTGATGTATCTTGTTTAACCAGTGTCTCTGTTTTTTCTGTCTAATCTCCGTACAGATGCTGTCCGGTCTGGTCCAGGTCGGTTCAGTCGACTGTCAGCAGTATCAGTCGTTCTGTAGGAGTCAGAATGTGAGGGCGTATCCTGAAATCAGAGTTTACCCCGGGAACTCCAGACAACCAGACCGATACATGTATGTACCAAATATACCAACACCGTAATTCTACTCTAAATAAAACTGTTTAGGCTCTTGTGTCATGATGAAGAGGGAGGAAGATGGATGACATGATTGGCGTTTTAGCTGGGGAGTTCCTCAGGGCTCTCTGATAGGTCCTCATTAATTTCCATTTCTTGTAGGAAACACAGTAGGTCTGAGCTTTACACTTTATGTATCTGCTTACTTATTGGTCTGTCTGTCTCCTCAGGAGTTATAACGGTTGGCACAGAGACGCCCAGTCACTGAGATCGTGGGCATTGAGGTGAGTCACAAACTGTCCTGAACTGAATCAATGATGGGGTTCATTTTGAATATACAGAAGTTTAGTTAATGTTTACGGTGGGAGAAAAAATTGATTCACATAAGGATCCCAATTTTTTCTTTTACAGTTTTTAAATCGAATTTTTTGTTTAAATTAAGGAATAAATCTTAAAAACTGACTGACATGTGATGTGTATGTTTTGGGGAAATAAGGTTCCTGGAATAGTCAGTAGACAATCATAATCATTCAACTGTTTCACTGGTGTTAAAAATGCAGACTAAAAATAGAGAAAATTGACAATATCGTAGAATCGCGATTTAAATCCAATCGGCATCCAAAAAAAAATCATAGAAGAATCGAATCGGGAGGAAAGTTAATGTTAATGTCTTTGTTCTTAGCGCTTTACCCAGAGCGTCTGTGGACCTGACTCCAGACACCTTCAGGACTCTAGTTCTGTTGGGAAAGGATCACTGGGTTCTGGATTTTTACGCTCCATGGTGTGGACCCTGTCAACTCTTCGCCCCAGAGTTTGAAATCTTAGCACGGGTGAGACGATTTTTTCTTCCTCAGTCTCAGATAAACTGAATCAGACACTGAATCAGAGGTTTAAAATGATTTTCTCTGTGTTTGCCAGATTCTTAAAGGGGAAGTCCGAGCAGGGAAGGTGAACTGTCAGGCTCACTATCAGCTCTGTCAGTCAGCTGGAATCATGTCGTACCCCACTGTCAAATTATCCGCCTACATGGGAGTAAAGAGGGTGAGGACTCACACACACATACACACACAAACCAGCAGCTCTCCCACACAAACGATAAAATAAAACAAACAAATATATAAAATATAACATACAAAACAGCCTGGAAAATTGGTGCTAATTTAGAGATAAAATAAAATAAGCTTTTTATATTTGAGACTGGGGAAAGGTGAATTGTAAGTGTTTTAGTTAATGCCAAACTGTGGTGTTTGCAGCATGAAACCACCGGAGATCACATTAACAGCCGGGACTCAACCATGATTGTTAACACAATCAGAGAGTGGCTACAGCAGATGGCGCCACGGTTACAATCCAAACCAAAGGTGAGTGACAAGTCATCTGAAATTCATCTAATAAAACCACATAATGACTTAGAGCCTCACTCTACGTTTCTGTTCTCTGCAGGACGAGCTCTGAAGAGGTTATAGAAACGATCTGATAATGAATTTGATTGGTCCGGATGATGATCGATCAGCCAACACTCCTTTCAATGAACACAGCTGTGACACAGAGACTGACTCACACTGACTGTTACTCTGCTGTGATGAATGTATGGAAAACTTTCAGCCTTTATTTTATTTGTTTTTATGTTTGTCTCCATCGTTTGTATTTACTCTATGAAGTAAAACTGTGGGACGCTGAATACTGGACGCACACACACACTCACTCACACACTCCACACTCACAGCGTGCCACGTTGGACATGGTGTTGTATTTTACTGTTCATGTTGAAACTGTCAAACCTTCAAAATAAAATGGTGTTTATTTTAAAATAACTCTAGAGTCACATTGATTTTTAACGCAATCATTTATGGTGAAAAGGTGGTTGTGGAAATTAGGATCTGAGAGGGTGAGCAAGACCATGAAGTGAAGAAAAAAGGGATGAGATTCACCCTGTTATTTCTAGACTCTCAAGACCAGCGTTCACTGTTATTATATAGTATATACTATACACAGTCTATGGTTTCAACCAATCAGAATCAATCATTAACACACCTTAATGCAGAGACATTAAATTAAATGTAAACGTGTGTTAAAACAAGAGCAGATGTGTTATGCCCCAGTCTCAGGAGGCCCAGTGGAGTTAACAACTACCCACAAAATGACCCAGTTTAAAACTCTATAAAACACTCAGCCACACAATTCATCATAATAAACACACACACAGCATTTAAACTGTTGAACAAAACACACTCGCTCATGACTAAATTAATAAAAACTCAAGCACACAACACAAAATCCCGGACTGGGAGGCAGCAGTTCCACCTCTTCTCTGAGATCAGCACTAAGGTTTTAAACCTTAAGGACCCCACTTTCGACCTCCCTAATTGCACCATCAACTATGAGATAAAGTTGGTGAAATGTTTCAGTTTCTCATACTAAATGAAGCCTTTAAAGCTGATATAACAATTTGACTTCAATTTTCAAAAGAAGACTGAACCCAAATGCTTTTTCATCGTGTTGATCGTGTGCTGAAGCTGCAAGACAAAGAACATGGCTGACAGATATAACCTCCACCTGCCCAGGTGAGCTAATTACTCCACAGGCTGATTCCACTCAGCAAATTGGCAGGTACAACCCACCACAAAAAAATTACCTCACTCTTTAATGGACAGCAGCCCCATCATTAAAACTAATAAACATGTAAAAAGTTCAAATCAGCTGATCTGAGATCATCAGTTTCAATTAGAAATGAATTACGTTCAGATACAGGAAGAGCTCAGGGTAACAAAAGATTGAAAATGAAAGCGAATTCATATAAAAACAAAAAAGCTTTTACTGAGATGTTAGTTGTGTTTCCAGCTAAAACCAGCAGGCAGCACTGTTGCGCCTGAAACAGACAGTACCTGAATGCGTGTAAATATTTAGATTGTAGAGGGATTAAGAAGTGAGTGTTAAAGAAGTATAATGAAGGTATCTACATGTAAAAGTAATCTCTGTGCAGAGGTTAAAATGTTTCCTACTGAGTTTAAATTTTCAGTTTCAGGTTCATTAAAGTTCAAATGTGACCAAAGAAGCAGCTCAAAGTAAAGTAACCAAGCTTTGGTTTTACAATAGAATATCTCAGTTATTGTTTATATATATATTTTTTACAAGATGTTAAAGACTTAACTGTTCTGTTTGTTGTCCCAAGTTTTCTTTGTGTGTGGATCAGTGATTTAAGTTCTCACAGAGGCATGATCAGCAGGTATCATCATGTTTGTATCTCTGTACACAGACTCAGGAGTTTTGTTTGGACCTGAGTAAAAGACTGTTTTTTTTCTCTCTCTGTCTTTATCTGATGGCTTTTTTGTTTGTTTGTTTGTTTGTTTGGCTGATCTCAGTTTATGCAGATGACAGTAAAACAGCACAATTGAAGACCCTTTTCAGCATATTGACCTCCTGATGAATGATTTTTTCACAGTGAAAGTGATTTTTTTACATCTTAAAGATAAGCAGGATCACATTTCTTGGATTGCATTTTTTTTAATAACATATCAGTTTTGAGGATATTAAGGTTAAATGTTTTGCATAGTTAGACAGGTGGGCACAATTTAGCTGTTAGTGAGGGGGCCAAAGTTCTGTCTCAACTCAAGTGACTGACCAGACAATGGTTTGGTCAGACAGCACCCTTACATTTGTCTTAAACACAAATTTAGGTGCTGCTAAAGGAAAAGTCGGCAGAAGTTTCTTGAAAAAAAAAATTCTGACTCAAATCATTTCCTAACTTAAAGCTCCTATGAGGAAATTTCTGGTTGCATTAATTTTAGCGCCCCCTGTGGACAGAATGGGACATTTGACTTTTTATCTGAGCCTGTTGTGGACTAAACAACTTCCTTAGTATTTTATACTTTTGTACTTTATGCAAGTTTACTTCTATTATTATACCACAATTTGATCGGAAGGAAATCGATGTATAAATGATTATACTTTTACATAGTTTTCACTCTAACTCAGAGGGTTTTCTTATGTTTCCAGAATTAACGAGGATTAAAAAAAAGTTGAAATTCTCACAGGGAAAAAAACCTCAGGGAAAGTCTGTGACTTTAAAATGTTATCTAAGAGCATAATTAACTAAATGACCTTACGTACTTTCCACCTCTTAATATTATTAGAGCGGGACATATCTCCCCCTCCATCCCCCCTCCTCACCCTGGCTCTGTTTTGTGGGCAGTTGGAGGTCAGCATTGACGCAGCACTGCTCCATAAACCACTGGAACCACTTACTGTGCGTGCGTTCTATTGTTTCATGATGTGAAATGGAGCAGCAAGTTGGACAAACACTGGCTGAGGTATTGTGGGAACCAACCTGGTCTACACTCTGTGTGTGTATGTGTGTTTGGATGATGACGTCAGGTTCAAATCGCTTCGTGTGTTGGACTGTAGAAGCTTTGGCTGTGCGTGTTTGAGTTGGAGGGAGAGCTGATCACAATGATTAACACACAAAGGAAATTCCCACCAGATCTGTGAAGGTTTTAACCTTTTCACTCCTGCAGTGACATTTACAAACAACAAGGTTAGATTTCACAAATGCATTTCTCCGGACAGCTCAGGAGTATAACACTAACAATGTGCAAAAACAAAACAGGTCTTGATTTCTGGAGGTTGCTGCTTCATTTCTTCTGTCAAAAGCTTGGGAAGGTACGAAAATAAGGAATATGTAATGGCCTACTTTTTGGTACCCTAGCCGTTGGAGTATTGACCCAACCCTATAGGGCGGAGCTTAACACAGTGAAGTCCATTGATTGGTGGAAAGGCTAACACATAGACTGTATATAGAATGGACGCCGTCTGCCTCCTCACTGGGTGAAGCCACCCTGAGAACAGCACCCTCTGGTGACAGGCTGCAGTGTAGGTCATAAATCTCACCTCCTCCAGCAATCCCTATGGAGCTGTGGACAAACTTTAGAAATTTATTACACAGAACATAATTTCTTTCCCCCCTGCTCGCGATGTTGACATGTAGTTATTGTAAGACTGGTTTGTGCTCAAGTCCTCTTTTCTCTGTAGAGCTCAGTTTTTAATAGTTATTAGGGGGTTCATGTTTTCTATGAATGACACCTGATACAATTTATGGGCGTACGAAGATTGCGTAGCTCACCTGGGGGATACGTTGTTTGAGCTGAGCGTCATCACAGCGACTCTCAGCGACTCTCCTGCCGAATGCGCAAAATGCTACTGCGCAATGTTGGTTTCAGGAAATGGAGAGAAAATGCAGAATTACAGAGAGCTTTTTTGTTTCAAATCTGTATACTGGCGGAAAGCAGAACCAACCAAGTATACAATCTATGGGCTAACACCATAGGATTGAAAAAAAAAAACGAAAAAAAAAAAAAAAGGTTAAAAGTAGTTTTTAAACTTGAGTCAAAGTTCAAAGAAAGAGAAAAAAAGTTTGAATCAAACCAAAATGAGAAATTCATATCAGACCATCTGAGGCAGTTTGCCTTTTTATTCAGCAGAGGGCCTTTTTGACGTAACCTGACTGTTGAATAGCACTGTTGATCTCAGTAAATTAATACAGTGATGATTCCCTGCAAAAATGGAGGACATGTGCTGCAATCAAAGCTGTCCTGAGACAGGCCTAGTGGAAAGATTTTGAGTTCAGCACCACAGATAGCAAAATACCCAAGTCTGCAGGTCTCCTGAGCTGCACTCAGTCCTGATCATGCAGTAGACTTGGCCTAAAGGCGAATGATATATAGCTGCTGCAGCGCAAAAATGATGGAGTTGTCTGGACCCAACTAGATCCAACATCCCCATTAATACTGGACCAGACTTATCAATGTTTGACTAAGAATGACATTAAATATCGGACCAAACCAGGACCAAAGAGTCAGAGGACACTGAACACAACCAGGACTTAAACATCGACTTGCTAAAGGGCAACCAGAGAGTAAGTTGTCAACATGTAATACGATGAAAGAGCAACATGAGGGCACTGTGTTTACATTTTACTCACTGACAGAACAAGGAGAGGGCACTTAACTCACTTTATTTTTGCAGTGAAGTACCTGGAGGGAACTTTATTTATACTTTATCTGCCAAAAAAGCACTTTATTCTAAACGTGATACTTAAAGAATGACTGGAGGGCATTTTACCCACAATTAATTCACTTCAAGTGCATCCTTGGGTACTTTTTTCATTGCATTCAGGAGGGCACCTATGTGGCATATTTTTAGGCATGAGAGTACTAAGTTCTCCCCTTACCCCACCCTAGGTACACAGGAGTCCAGGACAAAACAGGACTAAAGTACCAATGAAAACTGGGCCAAAATGGGGCTTAAAGCTTGTAAAAATTAGAACAAGTGAAGTCCAGAATACCAAAGAGTACTGGACCTGGAACGCCAGCCCGTACTGGACCAAACAAGAGCGATGACACCCGCTGCACTCGCCAAACTTTGGCTAAAATTCAAAGAATGTGGGGAATGACCAGGACTACAACAACACCTGAATGTGTTGGACCAAATTGGGGCTTCAATACCCGTGAAAGGTCTGAGAACTGGAGCAAAAAAACACAGGGATGAGTCAGACCCAGTCGAGGTTAAAGCGGATCTGATAAAACTGCTTTAAACTCAAAGTAAATTTCAGCAGAACGGCTATAATTCCTGTTTTTTATTATCTTTGCGGCGGTGTTAGTCTGAGGAGTTTAATGAGATAAATATAGTCCACTGAGGCTTCTGTGTTTTTCCCACTTCCTGCCCTCTAGTGTTGAAAAATCACTTGACGCATCTTTAACTTCTTTCAGCGAGGTCAGTCAGTATGAAAATATTCAGTGTGTGAGACTGTTTGCTGTGTCAGCACTCAGGAACATGAATAGAGGCACTCAGCCCGAAGGAACAGACTTCACCTTATACCAACACCAGGTGTGTTTTCAGTCAGGCAGTCAGCTGAAGGCAACGTGGACCAGATGGGGAGGGAGGGGAGGGGAGGGGGATAAGGAGGTGTAATAGCAGTAAATCTATGAAAACATTTTTTTTCTCCCCTCTCATGGAAACTGCAGCTGAGAAAACAGGGCTGGAAATTAGCAGGCAGGAACTACTGGAAGCACGCCTATACACACACACACACACACACACACACACACACACACACACACACACACACACACACACACACACACACACACACACACACACACACACACACACACACACACACACACACACACACTGAGCATGTTCCTGCTACTGCTCTGTTCAGTTAAACAAACTTTACTCCCATCAGTAAGAAACTCTGAAGGTCTGAGGGTTCAACTCCTCTTCTGTCGATCTCTATCAGTCTGTCTTTACATCAACCGTTACAACTGAGTGTCAGATAATTTAGCAGTTTAACTTCATGACCTTAGTTGAAAAAACAAAAGTTGTAAGAGAAACAACCAAACAGGTAAAAAAGATTAAGGGCTCTCGTCTTAAATTTTGATTTTTGGCGATTTCATTGGTATTTTACACACTCGTCCAACATTTTTGTGATGCAAAGAGGAAACCAGATATAAACATGATCCAGAAACACCAGAGACTTCTCTGGACCTGAGCCCATTTACTGTAAGATGGACTGAGGGGAAGAGGAAAACTGCCCTGTGGTCATGAATCAGAGTATGACACTCTTTTTGGAAATCAAGGACTCTGCATCCTCCTCTTGGAAACATAGAGGAACCACCTGGTCTGTTATCAGCTCACGGTTCAAAGCCAGCATCCCTGACGGTACGGGGATCAAACTCGTCTAATTTTCACATCTTTTTCCTATGTGTGGAATATATCAGCCGTAAGACGTCATACAGCTTATTGTATTTCATATCAGCAATCCGTCCTGTGTGACACTCTTTGGTCCTATCTCATTATTAAACAACAAAAACAACACGGGCTTCATCTTTGACGTCTAAATTAATGTTTAATGGTTCAAACAGCTGAGGAGAGTCCAGAGATCAGAATATCAGAGTGTTAGTACAGTTCTGTGGAGTGTTAGTGTGTTTACATGGACAGTTACGGTGATAGTGAAGGAACTGATTGTCTGTCAGAGAGCAGTCTTACATGTTTTCATTACTTTTTCCTCAGAAACATCCTGACGAAACATGAGGAAAAACGCAGACTTATTAGATTATAAAAGTATGATGGTGGAGTTCAGCAGGTTCCTGGAGTTTGGCCTGTGTTTTTACTCCGCACGGTCACGGTTTACAGCTTTAGCCTTCGCCGACTGAGTAAAGATGTAACTCAGACGTTTGCAGTCATGCACCTGAAGCTGTTTCTCATTCATTCATTTTCTACCACTTCTTCACGTTGGGGGTCACAGGGGGGCTGGAGCCTATCCCAGCATCTTCAGGCGAAGGCAGGGGACACCCTGGACAAGTCGCCAGTTCATCAGGGCTGACATATAGAGATGAACAACCATCCACACTCACATTTACACCTACGGGCAATTTGAAAGTGGCCAATTAACCTAACCCCACTTCTGCATGTTTTTGGGATGTAGGAGAGACTGGAATACCCAGAGTAAACCCGCGCAGACACAGGAAGAACATGCAAACTCCACACAGGAAACACCCAGATTTGAACCCAGGACCTTCTTGCTGTAAGGCGACAGTGCTAAACACTACACCACTGTGCCACCCAAGTTGTTTGTCAATTACTACAAAATAAAATAGGCTAATTCTGCTCCTTTTGCAACCAAAGTTTAATGCAAAATGTGGTTAAGTGACATGACCGTGGCCTTTTGTGTTTCCAATTCAAAACCTGAGCATCTTTACTTGCAGATTACAACCTGATCATACATCATAACCTCAAACTAAACCATGTATCAATGTGAGGTCAGTTTTATTCTCTCTAACCCGAGTGAATCAAATCAGATTTATGTTTCTATCTTTGAAATGTCAAAAAATGATTAAATGTGCATGACAACTGAACGAAACAGTATGTGATGCCTTCTGAAGGACCACATTAAAGGTCTTATTTGGGGTCTTTTCCTCACTGAATGTCTCATGGTGTAATCAACGTAGCCTGATCAAAAAAGACAGATTACAGCTAGTTATGAGTAAAAGAAAAGGTAAAAAGTAAAGTTAAATCTGACTGTCCCAAAAACTCTCAGTTAAACTCGATGATGACATCTGTTTTTTAAAAAATACTTCCAAAGTCTCGTCCTGTACCCTTCTATCTGCGCTCACCAAGCAGCCCTGTTCAGTTTGGTTCAGTCCGATCCTCAGTTATGTGAGTTTCCTGGTTAAATGTTGGAAGAAGTGGAGCGACTTTGGCTTTGGCTTTCCAGGAGCTGTCATGAAGCGGCGCTTGATTTACGCACAGACACTGACGGAGCAGAGAAAAGGACACTGAAGGGAGAGGGAGCTCATCAGAGGATTTATCCTGTGATTCATGATAACTTTCATCCAACAAAATCCACTTTAGGCTCAAATATAGAGCCACGCAAGCTACTTTATCTACCAAAAATACAGCAGTAGTGGTGTGGCGGTGCATGTGCATGTTTACATTCTAGTCATGTGCTGCAGAGTTCAGCTTTTCTGTGTGTTTGGATCTATTGTTCATTAATCCTGGACAATGTGGAGTTAGTCCTATGACTGATGACATAAAAATTGTAATGTTTCAATGATACATATAGATCAGCCTAATTCTATATCATATTTGTGACATAAATAGAGCAAATACAGCCCTCTGCTTATCACTATTCTGTCTGTAATGGCCAAGTTCAACGAGACTCAGCAAGCCTTCAGCTCTCTGGATTTTTGGCCCATGAAACATGCCGTCTACACCCACAGTCTGCACGTTTGAATGTAAAACCAAGATCCGACACACTTCCTGCATGAAGCACTCAAAGGTGCAGTCTGCTGTGGGAATGAAATGTCAGGGTGAAATGTCCGAAAATTTACTGCTTGGTGAAAATAAAAATTGACAGGTAATGCCATTTACATTAGAAACGTAGTTCAGTAGAGACTTTGATGCACACACGCTAAATACACGTTAGTCTTTTTCTGTTGTGATGACACATTTATGAGACGTCTTTGGATTCTGGAGAAGCTGCTGCTGTTGCTCTTCTTCCTTTGAGCTGCTGCAGTTGATCAGTTTCTTTCTCTCTGCAGAAGATGTGAATTTTGCTCTGTTTTTTATTTGCACATTTCAGCACAGTTAATTTTACAGCGATTGCTACAGATCCAACACGGTCCAAAAAGTCCAAGTCGATTAATTTTAGTTTCACTAAAATGTCCTCCATTATGTCACCACGGTAACATGGTCAACATCCAGGATTACTGCAAGCTGCGACCGCCAAGATGGCCGTCACCAAAAAGAAAATGTCCAAGAAAAGGCGTTGTACTGAAAATATACTGTAAGGCTGTGTGTAGGTTTAGTACTACAGCTTTGAAGCTACATCCCCTCGCTAGTCTTTTTGAGTGCTTTAAGAGTATACACACTCACACACCCTCACATACACACTCACACACAGGCATACACACTCTAAACGCACACTACATAATGTTTGTGCAAAGAAAATAAAAGACAAGATCAGACTGAACAGCCTGACTGATGAAGAGATGAACTAGATTCAGCTACAACATCCTGTCATAGTGCAATATCTACACACACACAAACACACATGCATTCACACACATTCACTCACAAACACACACATCTCCACACATACACACACACATGCACACACAGTCAGGTCTTAGTGGCGATTCCTGCGCTGGTTCCCTCGTCCTTTCCCCTGCAGGATCTGATCCCATCTCTGCAGACAGACACAGACGTTGTTTAGTTTTAAGGACACAAACTCTCAGTCAGACTCAGAGTAACTTTGTGCAGAAACAGCTCTGCTGCAGGTGTGTTTACACAGAAAATAACAGGAAATGCGGCTCTGAAACATCAACATGTTTTCTTTTCGGATTAACCCCGGCTGCCGTCTGAGAGCAGGTGTCAAGAAAGTGAACCGCACCTTGACCTTCCTGGCCATTTTTTCCTTCCACCTCTGAGCGATGGAGCCGTCAATCAGGAGCAACCTGTGACCACAAACACAAACACAGAGGGAGGATTATGCAGGGTTCACCACACTGACTGTAAAATTAGGCTATTAGACTTCAGGGAAACGAGTAATAACCCTTCATTAAGAAGAGCACACCTCATTTATTACTCGTGGCAACTGCAGAATCATTTCAGCACAAGGTAATCTGATGCATCAGGTACAAATAAACACCTGTGGTTCACTTCAGTGAGTCTGCATAGAGAGTTTAGTATAGATGCCTTTTGCTTACATATTTGATTTGTTACTTCCATGCAAATCTCTTGCCTGTTAAGAATGCACTCACACTCAGTCGATCTTTGTTGTCCTGTCACTGTCCCCTGTTTGTCTACACTCACACTGCTTCAGACTTAAACTTGACTCCTTATCGCACCTTTATAATAAACTAACGGCTTGAATTCGCCCCATCATGTAAGAAGATTTGACAAGAAGTGCTCTAAGCTGCACAACAGCACAGGGAATGACTGTAGCGTTAATGACTTTGTTGCCGAGTGCATCATACTCCTGCCAACAACTATTGAACAGGTATGTAAGTCATTAACCAACATTTACTGGCAATAAAAAACAAAATCACTCATGCTATGAACCAGAAAATTACATTTAAAGTCTTTAATTAATCATGAATGTGATTATGCACTACCAGACAGCACAGCTCGCTGCACAGAGAGTGGGAAGAAAGAGAGACCCAAATCATGCCTTAAACCTTACCAGTGTTTAAGGCTATGAAGCTGTCTAACCTTTTTATTTATTATCATCTAATGTATGTAATATACCATAAAGTGTCCCATGAGTGTGCTCTCTCAATGTTTATTTCCATCTCTAAAGCCAGCACAGGCAGCAGAGTCCTCCTCGTTCCTCCTGTAAATTGGTGTGAAGTAAATCTTTTAGACCTCAGACCACGATCATGCCTTCTTTGTGCACTGATTTACTTGTGCATATGATGCTCTGTTAAATCTGAAATCAGGCAAAATAAATCTCTTTGAATAGTAAGTGCATTACTAAGGGTCTAAAGTAGATAATTTATCTTTATGGAAATAAAAGAGGACCAAGGATGGAGCCCTGAGGAACCCCTTAAAGCTTTGCTTGTTTTCAAATTCAAACTGTTCTCCTTTTTTTCAATAATCCTTCAAGAGTAACATCATGAGAGACACATTTATGTAATTTTGCGATAAGGCCACAGTACTTAAAGTTTTAAGTTCCTGTTTCCCGGAGCTGCACTCACCTGGATGTCTCCTCGTTCTCGTAGCCCATGATGAGGTACTCCTCCCCAGTAGACAGAGGAGGACACAGGCAGGAGGAGGAGTAGTACAGCGTCTGTGTCTCTTTGGGAATGTTGACCAGAGAGGATTTCAGCACCTCCTTCACCTCCACTACGGCTGTGGGCTCCAGACCGCGATTCCTCACCTCCCTAACCCTCGCCCTGATCACTAGAGGAGGAGAGAGAGTCGTCGGCATATGGGTACACAGTGGATGCTCAGATGCTCGATGCAGTAGATGTGCAAATCCTCAAAATTGACCATGATTTGCAGTTTTATATTGTGATTGGCATACCATAGAAGAAATAATGTATTTTACGAGCAAAATTGTCCATTGTTCATCATATTCAGTGGTGCTAAAAGACATGCAAAAAAAGTTTTATATTCCAGATTGTCTTCAGAGATCCTTTGTGAGCACAACTGTTGGACAGCAGATTTACAAAAGCTTCAAACTACAAATAGTCCTGTGATTAGGGCAGAAAGTATTATAAACATCATTAAATCAAACCGTCTGTGCAGGACAGAGTGTTTTCAGGGTACAGGGTGAAACTATCCAGGGTGCAGCAGCAGGAAAAGAGGTAAACTATTACTGCAGAAAAACAGATATTTGGCCGTTTTTGTCTGAAAAGGCTCCCTAAAAGCATTCTTTCAGCGTGAGGCCACCAACTGCACACACAGAGGAGGAAATAATGCAGAGCTGGGCGAGGACGCCAGCAGTTAAACTCTTCAGACCACCTTGTTGTTTCGCTCTGTCATGCCACCGTGCTTCACCTCAATTATATCGGAATATTTCTAAAGTGAGCTCTTGTTTTTATGACGGCTGGAAAGAATCTGAAATCTTCCCCAAATGGATTCTGTGGCCGGAGGCATCAGTGAGCTCAAAAAGTCCTTATGGAAATCTCTGCTGGATTCGCCAAATCGTGCCTGTGCACAGGAATCATCTGGAAAAGCCTTTTTAGCATTAGCGTGTCTAATTTAATCTGACTAACCTAAACGCCTCCGAACCGAAATCTTTCCTCCATTCAGGAGAAATAAAGCTCAGAGAGAAAGAATCCCCGTTTGAGTCGTCTGATATTAAAAAAAGGTTTCTCATTCAGCAGCACAGTAAAGCCTCCAAACAAGTCAGACACTGAGCGTTTAGACGTGTTTTCAGATCTGGGATGATTTTATCTCACATGGGGCAGTGATTGGAAAATAAGATTTGACACTCGGAGATCACTTTCACTCAAAACTTAAAACCATCAACAAATTAAAACCAGGTAGAAGAAAGTTTGTGAAACACTTTGAATCAGCTTTTTAATATGAAACATGAAAAGGAGATGAATATCAGTGTGATATTCCTAAAAGCTAAAGACGATTAGCTATGGAAGAGTCTTAGCTGATCAGCAGAAATGAAAACAAAGAGAAGTTTCTCTTTGAATCAGCAGGAATGTGCCTAAAGTGACTCACCGTAGTTGTAGTTGTTCTTCACGTAAGTTTTCAATCCCATTTTCACGTTCTTACATTTGCAGGGATCTACAAAAAAAGGACAAAAACCTTTGAGAATTAATAAAAAACAGCAGTCTGGGGTAAAATCAGAGAGGCTGCAGAAGACTGTGGAAGTTTGTGCAGTACATATGCTCAATGAAGTGACACAAAGAGACAAAAAACACTATTTCATGGGAATCAAAAGTGTGCATGGCATGGTGGCTTCATATTTTAGGAAAACAGTTTAATTTCTGCAGGGATTACAACAGCATGGCTCTGTAGTAGAAGAGTCCTGCTGCTAAACCGTCCTGTCTGCAAATGTCTGCAGACATTTGAGCGTCATGAAACTTAACCAGGTGAGCAGACAGGTTACCTCTGTTTGGTCCCCTGCAGTGGAGGTTGTTGGAGTCCATCGGAAAGTCTGGACTGGATTCTGTTGGAAGGTCAGAGGAGATCAGGAACTGGTTTCCACATTGTTGATGTTCAGATGTGCAAAATAACTAACAAAAGAAGCTGGTTTTCAGAAGTAGAAGCTATAGACTATTATTGAATGTGCCATACATATGAAAAGGTTCTCAGCTCAACATATCATGCAATGACAGTACAGAGAGAGGACCAAAGGGTGGTCTCACCTGGGTTACACCTGGCTGGATCCTGGTAGTATGGATCTGTGAAGACAAAGTACGGCATTGATCAGCAAAAGAGTTACAACTTTTTGATCTACAGAGGATAAGTCGGACCTGTTTTTTCTAAACTTTGGTTGTCCCTCCAGCGTTAAGATTTGCAGCTTTGAATGAAGGATCACGATCACCGGAGTTTTCTTTTTTCAATTAACGTCAGGAATTTGACTGAAATCTATTTTTACTGTCAAATGTTTTGGTTTTGGGCCCTGAGACAAGCAGGACAAGCATAAACCAAGACTGTGACCAGAGACACCGAATATTTGGTCTGGTCAATCATCATTTGGACATTTGAGACGAACTTGTGTACAACAGAACAGACGATGACTGGAAGAAGTGAAAAACATCAGGAATGGAAAGTTTGGTTGTTTAGTTTGTCGGAAAGCAAAGAGTTTGATACTCTTAGAAAAAAAGACAGAGTATAGGCGACGAAGAGCTTAAGGATCATAAGTATGTTTGGCCAGGAGAGCAGGTAGCCTTGACATTGTCTGGTGTGTGTGTAGCCGAGATAAATCACTACGTGAGCCTATCAGGAGTGCTGTGGGTCCGTTTTTAGAGAGTGCAAGCTGCAGTGTGCACCACAAGAAAAAAAAAAGGAAAAAACGCTCATAAATGGTACTCAAAGAAACTGTAGATTGGAAATGTCTGATGTTGATTTCTGAGCTGTATTTTTTAATCAACAACCTTCTCAAATCAAAATCTCAGATATCTCGGCCTAAATGTTCGTATCAAGTACAGAAAAGAATAAGTTTGAATCAGAGAGTAAACACAGATGTATTTCAGTCTAATATCATTAGTGTCCTGAGTCTTCTTCACTTTTTCATTAGCTATTGTAAAAGTTGTTCCTGGTTGAGTAAATTTCTCCCACTTGATTGAAAACCATCAGGAAGCAGTTTCCCCGTTCTGCCGAGCCCTGCCGACGTTTTTTCTGTCCTGTTTCTACTCTCAGCAGTTTGTTCCTTCTCCCTCTCAAACAGATAGCGTGACTCATTTCCCCTCCGACTTCACTCCCACTGACTCTCTCAAAGAGCTCCTTGATACCGGCGGCCCACTCATTTTACACTCCATAAAACCCTCACTGTCCTCTGCTTCTTCAAGGCCGGCCCTGGACCATCTCAATCCCCCTGACCTCCATAACCGTACACCCACGCATCCCTGTGCCGCCACGGCCCGGCCCGGCTCTGCGGGGTCTGGGGATTTTCCCTCGCCGTGATTTGTTGATTTGCTGAGGTTCAGGCAGGGTGGGACGCTCAGCTTGTTCCAGTGAATTTCAGAGGTACTCCTGTCTGAGAGTTTCAGAGAGCAGAGTTTGTGTCTTTGCTCCATGTATGGCTCAAACTTTGCTGTTTCACTGACTCTGGAATGAACTCAGTGAAAGTCATCTTTGAATAATGTTAGAGTTAAGAAGTAAATAAGAAAGTCGAGGCTCAAAACTAAAGGTGATAGAGCTTTCTCCATCAGAGCTCCTCGACTTGGGAACGACCTGCCAGAGGAGAGAAGGCGTTCAAAGACAGTTCCTTCTTTTAAGTAAAATTTAAAAACTCACTTTTACAGACTTGCTTTATGTGATGCCGTCTTTTATCTTTTCTCTTTTTTCTTTTATACCTCCATCTTATTTTGACTTAGTGTCCTTTCAGCCTTTGTTTTACTTATAATCTTTTCTTATTTAACCTTTTAGGTCATCATTATGAATTTATTATGATTTTATTATCATTATTGATACTGTCTTTTTATATTTACTATCCTGTTTCCTGCTTTTCACCCCCCTTTTTATTACATTTCTTCTTCTTACCTATTTTAGGTTTTTATTTTGGTCCTCCTGGTCTCATTTTATATTGTAGGGTTCTTGTATTTTCTGGGTTTCTTATGACAAATAAAATTGGCCTTCAGTTTGGAGGCCTTGTTTTTAACTGAGTTTTTGTTTTTTATTGTTTTTATTTCTATGTGCTGATGTTCTGTGCTTTACGACTGTTTGTCAAAGCACTTTGTAAACTTCTGTTTTTAAAAGTGCTATAAAAATAAAATTATTAGTATTATTGTAAGAACAGAGTTTTATCGGTGAGGCTAAAATGAAAATGCCAGAGTTCTTCTGACTAAATCTCCACTAAAACAACACAAGGAACAAAGACTCAAATAAAATCAACCACAACTTTCTGTACATGGCAGAGACTAAAACTGAATTCAATGCATCACACAGACGTGCTCTTCTGACTGCAGTGTAATCAGCTGATCAGGTCTGTGATCCACAAATCAATGATCTATCTTTTTGGTGTGAAACTCAATCAATTCTTTAAAACACTTTTTTTCCCCTTTCTCATTGTGCATAAGATTGGCAAAGTGTCACCATGAAGATAGGACTGACACCTGATACCTGGTCTTCTGAATAATAAAAGCACTGATACCTGGACCCTCCGCCTTAACGATGGCCTCAGGTGAGATGCAGACTCCGCGGTCGTACAGCGGCAGCTCGTTGCAGGCCAGGCTGTCGGGCCAGCTGTGGTTGTAACGCTTCATCACCGGCTCGCAGCCGTACTTCGCCCGCTCGCACACCGCCTTGCACGGTTTGATGGGCTCGTGCTGGAAGTCGATGGTGCAGATGGGAGCGTACATCGCACAGAGGAAGAACAGCAGGTCCGGACTGCAGCCAGTACCTGAAACACAGAAACAGACAGGTGTGTCATTATCAGACATGACAACATTTTTGAGAGATTTTTGTGGCGAGCGCCGGGCAGTTCTGGGGTTACCTTGTATGGTGGATATGAGATAATTATGAGAGTATTTGTAATTAAATTGCTCATCCAAATAAGTATAAGTGAAGCTGCACACTTTTTTGTTTAGTTTTGACAATAACAAATGGTTTAAAAAATTATAGCTACGATGTGCCTTGAACTTACTTAGTCCACTAATATTAGTGTTAAAGTCCTCCTATGTTTTACATCTCTCCTATATGAAGCTCTCTGAACATCTGTATGCACAATAGGCTGCCCTGAACGCATCACTCAGAGACAATGCAAGACTATCAACGTAAATATTATATCTCACATTTGTTTCCCTTTCATTAAAGTGTTCATTTTGCGACAATCCCATCCCAAATTGTGAAGTAAAAGTATCAATCCAGTGTCTGTGAGGCTCAGCAGAAACTTTGGACAAATATAGTGATGCGATTCATGAATGAACGTGGATCATCAAACTACAGGAGAAAAGACAATATGTGAGGTGGGTGGGAGATAGGTCTGAAAAACGGGAGTGTTGGCAGGTATGGTCATTATATCTATCTTTGATGGTGCAATTCAACCCAGCAGTTAGGTTTGGTTCTGTAAACTCTGATCTTGCAGACTGCACCTTTACTTGATAGGTGGGGGTGTAAGCCGGGTGGAGATAGCTGCATCACTTATGTTATAAAGGGACATGATGAAGATATATAGTGTCAGTGTATTTAAAAGAGCACTTTTGAGTATACTAACTCTCTTTTCAACAATAATCTAGAAAAATAGTTTTGGTAGGTAAAAGTGCAAATAATCAACTTTCAACCTAAACCACAAAGTCAAACTATTTCTGTACTATTTCACACAGGAAACAACATTCAGCTGAAAATTTTCACTTTTGTTGTGAACAAAGTTACAGAAAAAAAAACTAATTTGAAACATCCAGATTTTTCACCAAACTCCCCGACTTATTTTATTCAGACTGAGGAAAGTTTTTCCCGTTTGCAGTCGAATCACACGGTGGATGTGGTTAACCACACCCAGAGCTCCTCCTGACTTCATCCTGCTGCAGGTTTCACACGGGATGAATCTGGTCAGAGCTGAGCACATAGGAGTTCAGCCTGCAGAGATGGACTGAGGTTTGGCGGAGCAGCGTTATAATGAAGTCACAGAAAAACTTTGAACTCCTGAACTGAAACTGCTTCCTGGTTTTGGGCTACAGGTCTTTCATTAAGACATTTTTCTGGTTAAAGCTCTTCGCCTCTGCATTTTCTCTCCTCGCTGCCCTGACCTCAGCTACAACCGAGTTCAGCCAAAACCTCAAAGTTTTACAGAAGACAGACATGTTTGTATGATGAAATCTTACAAAAGTTAATGAAGCCACATCAGTTTAATTCAGTAATTATCTACAGTTTAGTGAACCACAAAAAACAAGTGAAGAGTATCAACAATTACAGCTTTTATATCCCTTCAAACTCTCTGCATGATTATCTTGAAAACTACAGCTTAAATATTACATTATACTTATGAAATGAAATAAGCCTAAAGACAAAGTGAAAGAAGGCATACCCACCTACTCATATCTTTGTGTGTGCCTTCATTGAATTAAACTGATAAGAAGCAGAAGTCAGAGTTTACAGAAGTAGCTGTAGGTCTTTGCTTTGAGTTGAGGTTGCATTGAGCTGAAATGTTTACATGTTAGTCAGGGGTTTGTTTAAATTCATTTAGACAGGAGTGGCTGATTTCCTCTGAGCTTCTAAACTTTTTAACAAGGATTCAGTCTTTGTACAAAACCACAATTTGGGTAAATTTGCCACAGAGACGGTGTTTTGTGTAATGTAAAAAGATCACGGATGGAAATAAACTTCAGAAGCTACAGGAAGCCTGTTGCAACTAAGTCCAAACTGTTGGTTTTGTACACATGTCCGACCTCTGGCAAGGCAGCCAATCACAATTAAGGATTTGGAGTAGCACTTGGGGTGGCCAATTACATTTTAAAGGAGGGGGGCATGTTGGTTAACCAAGTGAACCATCAAAGTTTAGTACTTGAGCGTGCTCAGATTTGAAGCTCTTGGAAACGGTTTCTGTTTAGGGGTAAGAGTCCTTTTTGAAGGTGCCCTATGATGAAATATTTAGAAACATGAACCAATCATCTTTTAATCTAGGTTTTGAAAGTATTAGCAAAATTCTGCAGCCTCTCAGTTCCTAAACTCATTATCTGTGGAGTGATCTGAGTGGGTGAATATGCTATGATGAAGCGCTGTGCTAATTGGCTGCCTGACTGTTATCTGAGGATGGGAGGTGCAAACTGATGCAGAGGTGGAAAAACACAAAAACAAACTGGCGAGCACTCCAGGAGGGGAATTTTTTTTTTAGGATGGTAGGGGAAGGTCCCACCCTCCTTCGCCTCTGATTGGCTAGAAGTGCTGGGCTCCGATTGGTTATTCCTAATGGCTGTGAAACGTCATCGTCTGCTGGGTTAGGGTTAGGAGATTCAGAAATGCGATAATGTTCTGTAATGTTCTGTTCGATGTACAGAGCCAACAGCCCGCGTTTGGCTTGAGCGTGTGATGACGTTTCCAGCTTTTCTAGCCAATCAGAGGCGAAGGAGGCGGGACTTTCCCCCTACTGTCCTACAAAAAATATTAATATATCGCCTTCAGGACATTGTGGGAATTTGTGTTGGGTTTTGAAGCTACTGTGCCTGACTCTAACTTTTGACATCTTGTCTCTGCAGCAGAGGTAGGGGAATCACTCAGGAGTGGGATTTTCACTCCTGTTGTGACGTCACGACAAGAGCAAATACAAATCTCCTTGTAGAAGTTGTTTTCCCAGTAGGTGAGCAGCAAAATTGATGCAGTCTTTTTTGCTTACATGTTCTCAGAACTGCAGATGACTAGAGTGTATGAGCAAGGAAAAACTGTTTTTCATACTATGGAAGTATTTGAAAATATTGACTTTATGATGCACTGGATTAAGTGAATTTAAAGTTAACAAAACTCACAAGAGGGTCGAGACATTCTGCACTAAAACTCATTGCAATGATTCAACACTTTTGAGATATTTTACCAAAAGCTAAAAACATAACAATGGCATAAAAAAAGAGGATAGCTCGACTCTCGGAAATTAGATATTGCTTACATGTCATCAGCTCACAGTACTGTTTATTTTAACACAGCAAGTTTGTAATATTTACTCTCCAGGGAGAGAGACAGAGATTAAGAAGTAAAAGGTGAGTTGTAAAAAAAAAAAGTTATCTCTGGTGTCAAATCAGACAGAGAGTATATGTGCAGAACGTGCAGAGGTGCAGAGCAGCATTATTGGCTCAACTTATCAAAACTACACAAAAGTTTTCACATTCTGTACTGTCTGGTGTGTAGGAAGGAACGTTTGAGAGGAAAGAGAAGAAATCTAGTTTCGGTTTTGAGTTAAAAGCTGACATTTTTATATCAAAGAGCTCATGGTGCATTATTACCTGTCTGCAACATCACGCTTCCTACTCATGGTGGTATGGGAGGTAGAGCCTTTAACAATGTGGCCCTCCTAGGTTAAATTATTGTAATCCTCCTTCATCAGGGTGCTGGTGTTAGTTCCTCTGCACTGTTCCAATAAAATCTCAATTAGACTGAAAATCCCTCTTCTCACCTCATTCATGACCATATCCAAAAGATTTCAAGTTATCCAATAACCCCCTAGACCAGTATCCTCCCAGCTCTTAATCTTGGTTGTGGTACCTACAGTCTCTCTTGTCAAACGGGACCTGCTGCGTGTTGTAGCGCTGCTAAACTGTTTACCTTGGGTCCTGGAGTATGTTACTTTGTGCTAGTTTTAGAAGTCCTGCAAAAATTGTGTTTGCTGGTAGTCTGTTGGCATCTACAGTAGCACCAATGCTTTTTACTTTCACGTTGACTGGGCCCCATTTGTAATTATCTGAAGTATTTATCTGCAATATATCTGAATTTAATTGAAACGATACTAGCGAGAAGGAGCGTCTGTTTGTGTTTATGATTTGTGGATGTATTATATTGAATCTATACGAGAGCTGAAATAGGAGGCAGAGGACGACACAGGGCGGGAGATGTTAAGGAGTGTTTTCTTGGACTTTGATTTGTTAGGTGGGGTGACTTTCTGACTGTCTGCACTTGATGTTCATCCTGAGTGAGCGCCTGACTGACTGCAGTCAGACCAGAAACCTGCAGAGGGCCGTAACAAACCAACCCTTTAAAATAAGACTGCTCTATCACTGAGCGCCGCTTCAGGAGCCAAGTTTTCCCCTCCTAAGTAAACTAATCAGAATGATGTTTCCACAAAAATGTTTCCATGCTCTCCTCACCAACTGATGGTTTTAGGTTTCCTGTTTCTCAGACAGTTCAGATTCAGTTCTGCTCCAACAGAAAACAGAAGAAAAAAGGAGGAGAAGAGGCCATAATCTGGAAGATGTCAGTTTGAATTTCAGCAGAGACGAATCTATCAAAAGAAATAAAGTTTAAATGTTGTTTTTAATTGTGTAGGATTTTAGGTGTAAAGTCCATCTCTGTGGTTTCTCCTCCAACTCTGTGTTAAACCTACAACCATGCTCTGCAAATCTGTGCAGAGGGGAAAGTTGCAAAGTGAAATCACAGACAGGTTTGCTCAAAGGCACACCTGACCACACCTAAGCGTACACGGGTAGGATGTTGCGAGATACTTTGACTTTATTGAACTTCTCTGAATGTTCTTGTAGACACCAGATCAGGCAGGTTATCTAGTGGTGGCTACAGCAGAGATGGATGATTCTCCACCTGAACACCCATGGACATATCTTGAGCCTAGGGCTGGGTGATAAAACAATACCAAAAATTAATTTCATGTTTGCCCTGTTTACAGTGCAAATCTAAAAACTTCACCATCAAACCTGAAAAAAACATTTGTTTTATTCTAGATTCACATTAAGCTCTCTGTGCTTGGTGGAACTCAGCTGCAGTTTTAATTGTTAATGTTAATTTGAAGCTGTTAATCTGCAACACATGAGCTTAAATGGAATAACCCTCTTTAGCCGTGTTCTTTGTCCACCAGGTGTCAACAGGTGATGTGCACAGAGCCCGCCCAAGGCATAAGCGAACAAAGTGCCAGCTTGGGGCCAATAGGGGGCCCCCCCAAGCGTAATCAAATTTTCTTTTTTAATATATATAAATTTTTGCATGTATGAGTGGTGCTTTCTGTATGATTAAATATATATCGTAAAAAAAAAAAAAAGTAAAAACACTTAAGTGATGCTGCTGATGTAGGCTTATGATTCTTACTGCCGATATGTCAAAGCTCTGCCACCATCATGTGCCTTTTGCTGTGCAATGTGCACTAAGCATCCAAAGTTCAAGTAGTTGTGGGGCAAAACAATGTCGCAAAAAGCTACGTATTCTTCAGGAGCAGAGAAAAGAAAAAGAAAGCGAGCGGAAGAAGAGAAAAAACACCAAGATAAAGGTATGTTTGCATGTCATGGAATGTTAATCAAAGAGATTTGTGAAGGTGTGTGAATGATCAACAATCAATATTATTGGCAGAAATATAGGGTCCCAAAATCAAACTTTGCTTAGGGCCCCATTGAGGCTTGGGCCGGCTCTGGATGTGCAGGTGTAGTTCAAAGAAATGAGACAAAACTTCTGGGTGAACTCTCACAACAACACCTTAATTGGCCGGACAACCAGGTGAAATCACACCTTGGGCTGATTTTAAAAAGCTCATTTGAACAAAACAGAGACTCTAAAGAGTATGATAGTGTCCCCTGATATTTAAAAGTTGATAATCTGACAACTTTCAGGCCTGTTTAAAAGCATTTTTGTCATTTTTCATCATTATCTACATGTTTTTTTCTTTATCTATAAATGTAAAATAAGAAGACTGCAAAAACTTTAATGCTTTATAAATCACAGGGGGTAAAACTAAGTCAGAGTCGTACTTCCTGGTGTTTTTATAAGTTTAAGGAGCTCTTCACTCAGTTTGACAGCTGATTGGTCCACAAGAGAACTCATTAGAGAGTTCAGGAGCTCTACACTCACCCAGCAGCCCCTCGTACTGCTCGATGGCCAGCACCGCGTTGTCCTGCGTGCTGTGGTGGAGGTGGTTCGGCATCTTGGTCATGTTCCACGGCATGGACTGGCACAGTGGGATCCGGACCGACTCGCAGGACGCCGCCCGGACCGCAGCCGGACACAGCGCGCAGGACACGGCCAGCAGAGACACGCAGAGCCCCGGGGAGAGCATGACGAAAAGGTCGGCGAAGGAGTCACGGAGGAGTCACGGAGAGTTAAATCCAAACAGAGGCGTGTTTCTCCCGCGGAGTGGGACCTCTCTGCTGCTGCTGCTGCTGTCCGGTCTGCAGGCAGCTCGAGGAGGAGGCGGAGGGAGCTGCTTTCTTATTCACTTTCGCCTCCTCCTCCTCCTCCTCCTTCTCTGAAAAGCCCCCTCCTCTTTCCCTCCTTTCCTCCTCTCCTCTTTTTATCCTCCATGCATAAAGTTAGATTCCTTTTAGATGAAAAGTAAATACCAGTAAAGCCTTTAAAAGCTCATGATGTTTGGGTCATTACACTCCATTAAATCAGTGGATTTTACATCATTTAGCGCTCTGACAAGTGTTCAGCTACACTGCAAACAAAAGGTGGAAAATAGAAACATCAGTGTGTTGAAAATGTAGTTAAAATAATTACCTTAGACAGTTTAAAAGTAGGTTTTACTTGAGGAAATAGATCTGTCTGAAACATTTAGTATGCCAAATGATTCGTTGATCTTAGAGCAGCATGGAGATCTGATCACACATGCACCAAACCCTTCAAAACACTATATGTATGAATGCAAACAGACGAAATTTCCACCTTACTTCAACTGGACTAACACAGCAGACACTATCAGGTAGAATAGTAGGGGAGAGTGGGGTAAGTTGAGCCATCCCCTGCTGCTTGGAAATGGTAAAAGACATTGATCATGTGACCAAATATTTAGGTGATGGGTGTCAATTCATGGAGTCTGTGAAGGTTAGAAGCTCATGGGTGAAGGGGTTAGACATTATTGTACCAGTTGAATAGCGTATAATAGATAAAAATACACATGAATGTGAAGAAGTGACTGTTATTTAGGGAGAGAGAAGGTGAGGGAGGGCTGGGATGGAGAGTGGGGGGGTAGCAGGAATACAGCTCAACTTACCCCGCTCCTATGGTCAGCTTACCCCATACACGGGGTAAGTTGACCATAGGAGACCACTTTATTGGCATGCTATATTATCAAAGACAGTTATGTTTACACTCATTCTGTTGGTTTTCAGGGATGAACAACATCTAGAAATATATGCAGATACACTAGTTAGAGACAAAACTATGATTGCCTTGATGTAGTGATCAGGAATATGAAAAATGGCTCAACTTACCCCACTCTCCCCTAAATACGCAGGCATACAACTGTCTGCTCACACAGCATCTTCTTCTGTGGTGTTTATGTGACGGACTGATCAGCATAAATGGTCTCCTTTAATCCAGGCTGTGTTTGAAGACATGCAGAGCTGGTGCGACCCGGTGCAGGTGCAACACATTTTGGGATTCACTAATGTGACTTCAACAATCTTTATTTAGCCTACATGGTCTATAGTGCAGCCTGTGACCCTATAATGAAAGTCAACTCAACTGAGACCAGTGTTGACCTTTGACCTTTGCAGGTTTGTTGCACCAACGGCTCAGCAGCGATTGGTCCATAAAAGCTGAAAATGGTGTTGCAAAGTGTGTGTGTGTGTGTGTGTTGGCATTAACTTGGACATAGGAAGTTCCTCCAACATCTGACAGTCATTAGCTCTATCTCTCCCACTCTCCCTCCATTACACACACACACACTCACAGTGACACACACACACACACATACACACACACACATTTTCTGACTCATGGGTCAACATGCAGAGATTTGAGTCAGCACTTTTCCCTTCTTCATTCCCACCTTCTTTCCTTCCTTCTTTCCTCCCCTTGTTTTCCTTTCCTTCTTCTCTTCCGTCATTCATTTTTCTTCTCTCCGTTCTCATGACTTCATCTCAGCGGTGTGTTTCTGTTTGTGACGTATAAGGACCCCCTCACACTTTGGCAGGACAATCACTAATAAGAACACACATTTGCTCATATAGATACACAAAAGTAAAAGTGAGGTAAGTACACATGCTTGCCTTGGCTCCTTACCCTTTCCTCAGATTTTCTTTCCTTGTTTCCTTCTCTTTCTTTCCCATTTTATTGGAGGTAAGTACTGCACTGTTTTCAAGAGGGTCCAAGCAGCTGAAGTCACAAATACATGGCAAATTAAGAATGAAAAAATATCTTAATTAATAAAGTTTGATGGTCAGGATTGCAGGCAGACCATGGATGCAGTATCCATGGTTTCCAAAAGGAATGTCAATTCTGATTTTTTCAGGTTTTTCTGGATATGTTCATTTTTATATTTGCTTTTTATACAGCCTCCCAACCTCTGCAGACTTGGACTTGTAAAATAATGATTGATTAAAGGACAAATATGCAGTTGTTGGGGCCCAGCACTGCATAATCAAAAAGGTTAATTTCATGTTAAAGTAAAGTTATCATTAGATAATAATTAATCAATGCCAGGGTTTAAGTTAAATCAATAAAGATTGCTTCTTTGGGATTACTTTTTTCTGTTTCCTTGACTTCTTTCCTTTATTTGCATCTATAATCCTTGTTTCCTCTACCCTCTTCTTCCCTGATCTCCCTTTTTCTCTCCTCTATATTCTGATCATCTTCTGTTTCCTCTCCTTTTTTAAAATGCAAACAAACTTCTGTGGAAACCTGACCTTCCTCTCTCTCTCTCTCTCTCTCTCTCTCTCTGTATGTATGTGTGTAAGGAAGATGAAGAGCTCCAATTTCAGCCAGAAACTCAGAAACACTCTTGCTCTCTCTCTCCCTCATGCTGGAAATATTCTTGGAAACTACCAGAATCTTGTCCAACATAAATAAGAACGCAGCTGTCTACACACACACACACACACACACACACACACACACACACACACACACACACACACACACACACACACACACACACACACACACACACACAGAAAGAGAGAGAGAGAGAATTTCAGAGGACTGAAAATGATCTACAGCAATTACTAATTTTGCTGCAGAGGTCTGAGTGAAGCTAAATCTGTAGAGTCTGAGGGCGGAGCTACACGGTTGCACACATTTCTTACCATTCTCGCTCAAGGCCACACATGCAGAGGAGATGGAACAATATTTCAAGATAAATTATCTCATGTTTTAGCAACTTATGATCAATCTCTTCCATTATTACAATGATTCAACGCATGATGAAGAGATGACGCATGTGTACGCCGGCCAGTCTCAATCAGGCTGTCACTTCAATCATGATTGGCCGGTGGAGATGTAAAACTTTCCCTAATGTAGCAAAGCCTGTGAGGTACTTCAGACGGTCAATTGGAGCTGCACTGGTTTCCCTCCTGATGTGTGTCCTCCCAGTTTGAGGCTCAGTTTAAGCTGCGGTCTCTGACCCCGCTTTGCTGTTGTTCAGTTTCTGCGTGTACAAATACAACTGCAATGATTTATATTACTCATTTTCTCAACAGCAAAAGGTCTTTGGTTAAATTTTTTTTAGAATAAATTCATTCAACAGCTTCACCTGTCTGTGTTTTTAAATCTGCAGTTGCTCATAAAGGCGGAGGTTTAGCTCCCTCTTGTGGCAGGCACAAGTAACAACAACCACTACTATTCTCATATTTTTGTTCATTTCTACCTTGTACATCTGAGATTATAGTAATTTTTTAAAGTTCAAATAGTAAAATAGATTAAGGATTTTTTAAGATAACAAAATCCATCTTTTTAAAGAAAAATTAAATCAGATTTAAGAACTTTACACTCAAAATGCCCGTTCACCTCATTCTGCGTATTAAATCAAAATGACTTAAGTGTAACTCCTCACCTTTGGTCAGTGGATTTGTCTCTGTTGTAGAGCACCAATGACAGAGTGGCAGACGTTTGGTTTCATGTTGCACAGCAGCACTTCAGTCTGACCTCCTGCAGAGTCGGTCCTCTTCACAGTCTGACTCAGTTTGGACAGCCTCCCTGTAAAACAACAGACCGGATTAGATCTGGACCTGGTCTGACATTGACAAGGTTTAGTCAGTAAGTTGAACCTGGAACAAGGTTTTCAGTGCTTCCCTTCTGGACTGGAAAATAATGAAGAGAGACATTTGTTTTATTTTCTGCAAACTGACCCTGGACCTTAAACTGGACTATTAAGAGCCATTCTGTGTTGCGGTGGACCAAAACTGAACATCTAAAGAAACAGGTTTTCAACACACACAGTGCATCACACATCCTCTTACGTTATCTATATCATACCACATCTATAGACTTTTTCTTTGGTTGTATTACAGCTTGTTTGATTGTCGTGATCTTTGATATTTTGTCATTTTCATCCTTTCAAATTCAAGTTTACTTTTGCTGGTTTCTTCAGAACCTTAAATCACATCTTTCAGTAATGCTCCCAGTGCTGTCAAGGACACATTTACAAACAAGCTGCTTTAAGAAAATTGCCAAAATCAACCTAGACCACTTTTAAATATGTGGTACAATCTCAGTGCATTAATGCTAAAACCCTCTAAGGATCAAACACCTGCACTGAGATCTCTAAAGTTGCATGTATTACTGAGGTGGAAACACAGCCTAAAGTGCACAAGTTGAAATATTCACTATCTTAGTTTGGCGTGTTAGCAGGATCAAATCTGCTAAACAGCTGTTAAGACAATGCACAGCTGATTTCAATGGAGAGGCTGCTAGTTCTGCAAGTATTTCATCATTAATCAAAGTTATATGTTGATGTGACAGCGGCACCAAGGGATTAGAAACAAATGCAACAACTCATCCTAAGGAGAGTGTGAAATTGACCTTAAAGAGGTGCTTTAAAACCATTCAGTCGAACACCAAAGTCACTCAGATAACTCCATTCTAGGGCATGATTGTCTATTTAAAGGTTCAAAACATCACATAGATGTCATTTTTTATGTAACTGGACAAGCAAATCCTACAGTTGGGGCTTTTGTCTCAGTATCTATAGTCTATCCTCAGGGAACCATGCATAGCTTTGCAAACTTTCACAGCAGCAACTCTGAAGCTGTACTTTGTTTTCTGTTGCATCTTAAAAAAAAAAACAGATGAATGTGCCAAAAATTAAAAGTCTCAGTTCAACAAATCTTCTGGGGAACATGAATATCTGATGTAAATGTGATGTGCATCCATCTGTTAGTCGTTAAGATACTTCACTTTGGACACACGTGGTTAGAGAAAAATGTTTTTGTCCAAGCAAGCTAAAGAGTCATAGATCTTTTCTATTTCTTAAGAATGGGTATGAATATTTAGGAACTGGAACTCAAAGAAAAATTATGATCTGCACATCCTTTAGGAATAACCAACAGTTCCCAATCAGAAAACCTCACAAATCTTGCAGTGATCTGTAGGAAGTTATATATATAGACTGGACTTTGCTGCGGAGCACTGAAGCTGATCATCATGGAGATCTCAGTCTGAAGTCTAAGTCTGATCGTGAGCCAGAAACAAAACAAAGATACCGTCACATGAGAACTTTAAAGGATCTGATTAAAAGCTTTACAGCATTCAAGCATACAGAACAACCTGTAAGTGATCCAGAGGAGGTGAAAAGAGAGTCTAAATTTAGTAACGTTCTCCTTCTTTAAAAAACAAAAGGAACACCTCTCATGCTGCTTGAAAGAAGCACTTAAGGTTTCTTTGTCAGGATGGATTAATTGAAGAAATGGAAACATGGATATTGATCATCTAGGAAATTAATCAGACCAGGTAACAAAAGGGGCATTACTCTACCTATATATAATGTCCTGCATTGTATCTATGAATCTGTAAAACCTTTAAAACTTTATCATCTATAAAACAGCAAGGTAATTTCCTGCAACTGTTTTTTTCCCTTTTAGTTTGTAGGTAATTAGAGCATTTTTGGTCTATAATGCACAATAGTGCAAACATCTGAGGACCCAGGATGGAACCCTGGGAAACACCACAGAGCAGAAACACCAGTTACAGATAAAAATCCCATGTGTTTATTACTCAAAGATCATGTAATTAACTTTTTTTAATACTCCTCAGGTTCTTGTCTGGTCCACTTCAGTACCGAGTTTAGTTCCCTCCAGCCATGCAGTCCCTGACGGAGGAGATCCAGAGTTTCTCTCGGACGCGGCTCAGGAAGCAGTGCACCCGTGTGACGTCGCTGAGCGGCCGCCGCATCATCGAGACATGGAAGGGTTCAACGATCACCGTGGTCGAGGACCCTGTCCCCCCAGAGACGATGCTGGGGTATGTCCCTGACACCTCCTGGGATGTTCAGGTCGGCATTGTCAAACCCTACCTGCTGCTGGGTGAGTGAACACGTCCCGAAATGATCGAATGGTCCTCATGAACCACCGTTAGGTTAGGTCAGTGAGGTTTAGCTGCAAGGTCAGGAGGAGAAACAGAAGGACAAGAGTTAGTCATTTAGAAATCAACATAAAAAAACAGGTTTGAATGAGAGGTGGGAGGAAAGACAGGGAAGTGAGCGCCTTATATCATCAAACCATCAAACTCTAATCTTGCTGTCTTCAAAATCAGGTGTAACATAGTCTAGAAAAATAAACCTGAAGAGGAAATTAGTAAATTAAAGCTCCTGTGGGAGTTTTTCAACCTTTTATGAAACAGACTGAAATTCATATTGCGAGGGGTTAGGTGTCAGCAGAGTGGTTGAAGAGACAGCTCTTTGTTTATGTTGTCTTCACTAAATATTGACCGTGAATGAATGTTCAATTTCACTGTCAAAAGTAGGATGGGATTAGGATTAAGTAAGACGAGGACAAATTTAGCAAAGTTCTCTTTGTCCACAGGGTGCACCTGTTTGACTAATTTGCACAGTTTTGCACAGGAGTTTTAAATTAAAAAAAAAAAGTAGTCTAATACATGAGTTAAATAAAAAACAACAGTATTCCAGTGGATCGGATATACCCTTATCTCCTGCCCTGGAAGTCACCCTCAGTCCCCCAGCTCACCAGCGCTGAGTAACATGAATCCAGACATGGGGGAGAGGTGTGACCTATCAGGACTCACCTGTTCACAGGTGTAACAGGAATGACCCTGTGACCTGCAGCAGACGCTCCGCGGGGGGGATACTTAGGTTATCTGTTCACTGCTGTACCCTGGATGGGTTGACCGGCTTACTAACTGAATATCTGATGGAAAATTTAGATAAAATACATAATCAACAAGACAAGGATAAAAAACTTTAGTTCATAATGTCATGGTTATTAAAACAAAAAATGACTCTTCACCGCTCTTTCTGCTGTTATTCACTGTCTGTGTGTGTAGGTTCTCAAGATGCTGCCCATGACTTTGGCACTCTAAGAAAACACAAGGTGAGATTATTTTTCTCCATTGCGGCTCCATTGCACTTAGTTCTGCCATATAACTCATATAACCTCACTTCAAAAATACTGAAATATCCCTTTAAAGCTCTCAGACAAACACTGGGATTGTTGAACATTAAGATGTATTATAGATGCTTCTACTGTGAGATAGGTGAGACAACCACATTTGAGCCAAAATAAGACTGCAGGAAGTTTGTTCATATCTGGACTCAGGTCTAAACCTGTTTGGACTAAATCTGAGCCTCCTCTTCCTCTGTAGGTGTCTCACATCCTAAACGTGGCCTTCGGGGTGGAGAACGTGTTTCCTGACCTCTTCATCTATAAAACCGTCAGTATCATGGATCATCCTGACGCTGATATTCTGCTTCACATGAAGGACTGCTGCGACTTCATCCAACAGGCTCGCAATGAGGTAACACATTAAAATTGATTTACTATCGTCTGTTAATGCAGAAATTCAAAATTTTGACTGGACAATCGTTTAAATTCAGCTAAACATTTAGAGCGATAGAAAGAAATATCATCTGGGAGATTTTCTCACACTGGTGTCATTTCGGCTTCTCAAACACTCTTGCTTTTCTTCTGATAGACAGTTGGGGTGTTACTTTTTACACAGCTTTGAATTTATAACCAAATCTTTAATTCTGTACCAAATGATTATTGACACAGAACTTGTTTTCAGAAGAAAGGGTCTTAAATGAGTGTGACACCTGGTCCACATTTGTCCGTCTCTCCTCCTTCCTCCCACCTTGACCCTCCTCCTGTGTTAGGGTCTGCATGGACCCGTTTTTGATTTTAAATGCTAAAAAGAATTATGGCTCTTGTGTTTGGGTCGCTGTTGACCCCGTTAGATCAATATCTAATAATTAGAGCAAAAATTAAAATCATAAGTGCACTCTCAGGCACTACACTGACAGTCAGATTCTCATCCAATCATGTGAGGTTTAGGAAATTCTCATTTTGCCATATTTTTCCCTGCACAAAAAAAAAAACGTCAGGCATGTTCAGACATGTGAGATCAATTCAGTATAGATGTCTGTATGAGGGGTTTTCTGACAAAGAAAGGCCCAGAGGCCCACAACAAAAATACTACAAACAATATTTTCATGGATAATGAAGCCTAATAAGGTAACCTAGAGATGAGAACCAAATTGGATGATAGAGAATTGTTTTTAGTGTGATTTGAAGCTGATTTAAGACACGGGTCAAAAACGATCCTCAACATGGAGGGTGCGTAGTAAAAGCTAACACAGGAGGAAGGTTAAAAAAATAGAAATTTAACAAAGAGTGAGAGCTGCTGTAGCTTGGTCAGACCAAAGGCAAGATCAGGTCCAAAAACAAGAAACAGTCCCATCAGAGGACGAGGTTGAACAGTAACACACATTCCCATCTTCTCCTCCCTCCTCCTCCTCCTCTCATGTTTTAAATAATGGATGTTTAGTTTTGCTCATCTTTTATTAAACTGCACACAGATCAGATCTCAGTGTCATACAAGCTTTTAGCAGCAGAGCCTGCAGTTCACCTTAACATGACACCGAACACACATGCACACACAGGGACTCACACACAGGGATACACACAAACACACACATGCACACAGAGGGAGTCATTAGGCAGTTATTAGGGGTGTATGATTACAGGAAGTATGTGCGTTCATTATGATATGTCTGTCTATGTGCGTGTGTGTGTTTGTATTCGGGGGTAATTCCAGCTTCGATAATCAAACTGATGCATGTACTTTGAAAGGCAGGGTCATATTACCCAGCAGGCCATCTGGTTGGAAATGACCCTCAGGTATTCACTCTGTCAAAGTGACAGCGTCATGTGACTGAATGTGTCTGTTGTTGTTTTGTGAGTTTTTTTTTTTATTACAAAATGCAAATCAAAAAGTATTTTACGATTTTTTTCACCAAAAGTTTGCAGTCACTTAAAATTATTCTTATTATTATTTTACACTTTTGCACTTTCTTCAAACACACTCTAATTTATTTCCTCAGACAGGTGCTTTGAAAGGAAATCAGACCATCAAAAAGTGTACGCAAACTTTCCAAAGTGTTACTCAATCCAACCTCTCCATCCTCCTCCTCCTTAATCGGGTTGATATCAATGAGCTTAATCCCCATCTCATTAACTGGGACACAGATGTAGTTTAAACCTCCCATGAGACGGAGAACAGAGGCAGTAATGGAGACGCTAATGGGACTCTAAAGACACTAACAAACAAGACATCCATTACTTAAAGTGTGTGTCAGTGGTGAGGCTGGTGAGGCTGTGCATCACTTTGTTTGCTGGGATTTAGAGACCTCTACTGGTCAGAGAGAGCCACTGTACCTTGGTCTTCCAGGATTTGTTTGGACTACAGTACTGTGAGTGCCAGGCATATTTGCAGATTAGCCGGAAAGAGGAACACCTGCCTGTAGTGATGTGTTGTTACTGAACGATTCATTCAAAAGAACCAAATCTTTTAAGTGAACATACTGAACAGAATCATTTCCTCGAGTGATTCGTTCGTTTCTCACTTCAATTGAGCTGGAGTGAGAAACAGCATTGCCAGTCGAGTAGCCTGCGAACGAGGGACCGCATGCACAACACCTGAATCACTTGGTGAACGAATCACGCATTGAACTACACTCTCTGGAATCATTTTTGTCCTGAGCAGACCTGATAAATAGCATATCATAGGAACAGAACACTTAAAACATCATCACCTTTCAACAAGTTCATTTTTATAAACCTGTTTGCCATAGCAACACAGCCAAACACTCGTCTTCTGGTCCCAGAAGCTATTATCTGAACTGAATCCTGAACCGTTCAGCTGTGTATCAGTTCAGGAGGTCGGAGTCGCAGGCTTCCCCCGCCAAACGCAACATGATATTTGGTGAATGAATCTTTTGAACGAATCTTTTTAGTGAACTGATTCTAGTGATTCAGTACATCTAAAAGAACTGCTGTGCCCATCACTTCCTGTCTGAATTCTGTGATAGGAGGGTCAGGGGGTTAGAAAGGCTCTCCTGCCCCCTAGTGGATGAAACCAGTTCCTGCAGCTTTGACCTCACCTTCTTGTTCCCTTCACAGAAAGGAGTGGTGCTGGTCCACTGTAACGCAGGCGTGTCGCGAGCACCTGCAGTGGTCATCGGCTACCTGATGTCATGCGAAGGCCAGTCTTTTGACGGCGCTCTCTCATTGGTCAGATCAGCCAGGCCCGCCTCCTTGCCTAATCCAGGCTTCTTGGACCAGCTGAGGAACTACAAAACGCCTACAATGAATGGATCCAAGCACTAAAGGAGGAAGAGAACAGAGTGATTTAAAAAATTTAAAACCAATGATGAAATATTGAAGTCAGCCCAAGAACAGAAAGAATATTTTATTATGAAATTTATCTGGTTTTTAAATAGAAAAGGTTTGAATTATTAAAATAAAAATGTCAGATTTCACATTTCTACCCTCTTATAAATGATATTCACACAAAAAAAAAACTTTCTACAAATGCTTAAATGAGTGTGTCTGAGGTTAGTTCATCCAAACTTTTATCGTTTTCTCTCCCTGTTTTGTTATTATTTGTTAAAGTTTTGAGAAAAGGTGTCATTTCTTTGTGTGGGTGTTACTTATGAGTTCCTGTTGGTGTTTTGGTGCTTTTTCATTGTCTGTGTTTGTCAAATTGATTTTTGCATTTTCCTCCTGCAGCAGCAATGCAGATTATATCTCAAAATAAAAAAACAGGGTAAAAAAAAGCGTACACAGTGTGACATTTGAAAGTCATTATTTTAACTGTTTTTTGTTCAAGCACCGGTAACTGCAAAGAGACGAGTATTTACCCATTTATCAGTCGGAGTCAACTCAAACCATTAAACAAAGAAAAACCAAACAGTGCGACAAATAGTAACAGGCTGTTTTCTACTAAATGCACAAGTTTTGAACACTGGCCATTCCTGTGGACATCAGCAAGCCGTGCCGTGCACTGCCTCCTACTGGCCAGATTGAGCTGTGTTTATCAATACAGCTTTGAGCAATGGTTCCTCGTCGCTCTGGTCTTGCGTTTATGAACCAGTTAAATAAAGTAGACACAGCCTACTGATGACTTTGTCGCAATTGTCTTGACCAAATCACTGACAAAAAAATAACACACCATGAGATGAGACAAGAGAAAACACTTTGTCCACAGGGGGCGCCAAAATCAACACAAACTGAGAGTTCCTCACAGGATAGGGATATTCCGGCATAAAATAAATATAGGGTCAAACACACCATAACACCGAGTTAGACACCCGCTCAAGAGATGAATGTTGCCGACCGCTTGCTTCTCTAGTTATACCAACTTTAGTAATGACCCCACGATAGCAATATGCGGCGATCTGAGGAGCAATAAACCTCGACCAAAACGCCACTCTATAGCCACAAATAATGTTCAGAACAGCACCTAACTCCATCAACAGGACATATAGGGTCCTAGCCATAGCACTAGCCACTGAACATCTTTTTAATTTCGCCTTATTTTATTTAGCAAAGAGACTAAACATAACTCACCTACTCTCTTCCAGCAGCTGCTTGTTTGTAGCGAGACCTCAGGCCAGTCCATTATGGACTACAGCGGGGTGACGCAGCTCAAGGAAGAACATTTATGATCATAGAATATCCCTTTAAGTTAAACAATTTTCATTAGAAATGATCATGCTGAACGTACGCTCACTCTGACCCTCTAGTGGAAGTGGAAGAGTGAGAAACCTCTACACATTGAGAGAGAGAGAAAGAGAGAGAGGTAATCACTAGGAGACAGGCCACTGTGCAGAGCAGCATGTGGATTACAGAGGGAAGAAGATGTCGCTCCAACATGTGAGGGAAGAAAAATTAAAAGAGCCATCCGTCTGTTTGGAGACTCCTTCCTCCTCCTTCTCCTCCTCCTGCTGATGATGGGCTCTTTCTGCTCAGCTTTGGACAAAAAGACGGCAGTGGTGACCATCACACCATGTGGAAAGTCTCCTGTCAAAACTGTTACAGGTCAGAGCTTCATTTCCTACCTTTCTATCCCTCTTTATTATTTATTGATTAAAGTTTTGAGTTGCCACAGGTCTTTAACGTCTCCTCTAAGCTTTTCATTAGGCCTACTTATATGATATTTCCCTGCAGCTTTGCATTTAAATACAAGGACTTTTTGATGCAGACATTATTACACAACCTTTTGGAAAATACACTTCTTTAAGAAAACATAACTATATAACTATTTGAGTAGGGAGTAAAGAGGTGGATCATAAGGGGCGTGGCCTCTTTGAGTGACAGGTCGGCGCTGCTTAGCGTCACCTCAGCTTATTTAGTTTGTGCTGTTGGAGCCTTTAGAAGACTTTTGCATGTCAATGTTGGTCTAATAATCGGACCTCCTGTTTTTGCTCTTTCCTGGTCTACATTGCCCGACAATATTTTTCCCCACTCAGTGACATTATAACAATGTTTTATGTATATGTAACTGTAATGAGACAACTGCTTTCTGCTATCCACCTTGAATTCACCCCTCAAAGGAATGCAGGCTCCTCTGGTTTGGACAGGAAATGGGGGAGTAACGGTTTGCACACCAAGTTCCCATTTACGACCCAGGCAACCATTTGGGAGGTGATAGTGAATCTTTAACGCTTCCCAAAAAGGACAAGTTGCTTATCAACCACACAGACCCATAAACACGGAGTCTCTCACCCTGGTTGGGAAAGATCAGAATTGACACTTCAGGATTAACCCAATGACCTAGGGGGGAAAACAGGCCAGTTGGCGCCAAATCTGAAAAACCAGATGCCTGCCATAAATTCCTTGGCTTTCTTTACAGAGCAGAAGGAAGAAGATGCCTGAAAATGGTTTAACTTCATGTTTAATGGACACTTCACCAGGATTTTCTGTCTGTACACCACATTCTTAATGAAATGGTCTTTTTTCCAATTCTGTAACATATCCACAAGCCAAACTGTTAACTTCACAAATTTATTCCAGGTTTTCCATGGACCAAGAGTTCCTCCTAGTGGTGATGCCTGAATATGGTTTGATCAGAGCCAAATGGCAGGAATCTAATCACGTGTATTTCTTTCCTTTTGTTATACACTTCGTAGCTTAGTAAATGGTATTCCCAAGATAGGCTAGTAGTTTAGAAGTAGTAACGTGAAACTCGTTTAGACTCAAGTTAAGAGTTTCGGAATGTATCCATACTATGTTTTATCTACCTCACACAAAAATATATATTAATCATCTGGGAAGCTTGATTGACAAGGTTATAATGTTGTCAAATATTATTACGTATGTGTTTCTTATGCTGGATGGTGTTTCTGTTCGAATAGATAATTTGTTTTCTGTCCCTCTCTAACTTTTAAAAGTCATTAATCCTCTGTTAGTGTCAAGAAGACGGCTGATCAAAGTTTACTGTTTGCAATGTCATGCTTTAATGCGTCTGCTCATAAGAAACAATGAAGTGAAATGTGATCGTATGTGATGTTATAAACAGTTTAATCATAGTGAGTGAGTAAATTAGATCTAGCTCGCTTTTAATATCAAGTTGAGTTAAATTCGCTGCCAGTCGATGTGCTGCATCGGGTTACAGCATTGGCTGTAACTTTCCTCTTGGCTCACGCCCACACGGGATGGTTTAAAAGAGCCCGGGAGTCTTTGCTCGGTCTTCAGTTTTTCTTCAAGTTTTGTCTTCTCTTCAGTTTTTGTCTCTTCCGTTTTTGTCTTCGTCTAGTTTTCTTTTGTCTTCGCCTATCGTTCGCAATTTTCCCCGCGTTTTATTAATTGCCTTAAGCTCAGATTTTATTCTAAACTTGGATGAAAGCATTCCCAAGTCCTTTAGAGCCTCAGTAACAAGCTGCGCGCATAAGAGAACCTCAGTCTAAGTCTTTTATTTTTGTTCGCTAAAGTGACTCCTGAAGATAATATCGGCTGGCCAGCGAAATTATTTTCTTAAGTTATTGGCGCGAATTAATCTGCAACCAAGCAAGTCCTGAACGCCGACCAGCATCATCTGCCAAGCTGCTTTGCCACCTGGTTCCGAGAGGCCCAGAGATCCGAAGTATCTAACGGCGCTGACACGGTCCTGAAGCTGAGATCCAGACACGGCGGAAGAATTCCCCGCCGAACCTTCAGTATCCGGTCCGGTAGCCACAGAACTTCAGCTGATCCATTCCAAGGGTGCCGCTGAGAACCGACGTCCAAAGTAGGCTAAATCCTCTGAACTGCTGTGATGAGAACTGGGTGATGCCGTCAACCGTTCAGTAGCTTACTCTTATAAATTATAGTTTAGTTCTCCAAATTCCTTTTATTTACCCTCGTAACTCCGTTAACGTAGGTTAAATTTCCCCTTTATTCACTCACTATTATTAACCTCCAGTCTTAGGTTTAATTTAAACCATTCCTTCGTTTATTCATTAGATGTGCTTTGATTTGCTCATTATTTGATCATCATTTATTGACGTTTTGTTATCATATAGCTTGTTAATAAATTGTCCATTTAATTCTAAGTTGTCGTCTTAGTGGTCTTTCAGAAAGTAGTCCCTGAATGAAGAATTCCGGCCTCAGATGAGAGACTGATTTAAATCTGTGTAAGACTGATCCAACGTTTAATTACTCAATTGAACTTTGTTTCGTCCTTTTTCCCACCAGAAAGGTGGGTGGTGCCCCTTCAACGAGTGCATAAATGTCATAATTTAATTTGATTAATTTTCGACATTTATTTTGAATTTAAAATCGCTACAGTATTTGGTGCCCCGTGTGAGGCCATTCAAACGACTTCTGTAAGGCACTAACAGACAACTTTAAGATTATTTTAGATTCCCAAACTAGTGAGAAACCCAATTTCCCAACTTAGACTTCTTAAGATCTATGCTATGCTTGCTGAAATTACTGGATTGCTTGCTTAATGTATGTCTGATGCTTTTTGAAATTGCTGAACTGGGCGTTTGATGTATTTTCTGTTTCATGTTCTGATGATATTGAGCTCTGTGTAATAGCGCTGATGATTTTTGCTGCTGCATACTTTTGTGTGTGAGCGTAGACCACGTGGATCATTGTTTTGGATTGCAGCGAGGCTGCGCTTTCTGCTCTGCGCGCCGCCGCTGCGCGTACCCAGATTGTTAATTTTTGAGTGCACGATTTTCAGCGTCGCCGTACGCTTGTATTAGAAGGCCTTGGGCCGGACCCGGTGTTCGCGAAGCTCCGAGCCGTGGTTCCGAGTCCCTGAACCCTGTATAGTCTGCTACGAAGTTCTAGTAACTGTAAAGGATTCAGTTTATCCCTCATTCCCAGGCAGATTAGCT